CTTTTTGGTATTTTATACTTTCCGCAACTTATTCCAAGTTTAATGAACGATAGTATATATGTATGTCCAAGAGAAAAAGATGTTTGATAAATTATCTAAAATTTAGTTGAAATACCAAACGTTTTTAAATATGTTACGTCTGCATTGTTTATAACTTTTTGAATACACGCTATGTTTGGTATTATATATGGCCAAGTCAAAACGTGCTGCTACTGTTCTGACATAATGAAATCAAATCTATAAGGTATCTGCTTTCTCCGAATGTGTCGTAGTGCTGCCTTTATTGGCGGTTTTTGAGAAATCGCCTTTCAAAAACGATATTTTTTGAAATTGAAAAAATCCACAAGAGGCGTAAAATGCTTTTTCGGTATTTTATACTTTCCGCAACTATTCCAAGTTTAATGGACGTACATATATATATGTCCAAGAGAAAAAGATGTTTGATAAATTATCTAGTAAATTTAGTTGAAATACCAAACGTTTTTAAATATGTTACGTCTGCATTTTTATAAATTTTGAATACACACTATGTTTGGTATATATATGACCAAGTCAAAACGTGCTGCTACTGTTCTGACATAATGAAATCAAATCTATAAGGTATCTGCTTTACTCCGAATGTGTCGTAGTGCTGCCTTTATTGGCGGTTTTTGAGAAATCGCCCTTTCAAAAACGATAATTTTTCGAAATTCCGAAAAGGATCCACTAGAGGGCAAATCATTTTTTGGCATCTTAAGATTTGCACACTAATTCCAAGTTTAATGAACGTACAGTTTTGATGTATGACCAAGAGAGAAAAGTGTTTGATGAAATTTAGTTGAAATACTTAACCGTTTTTAAATATGTTACATATACATAGTTGATAAAATTGAAAATGATATGCTATGTTTAGTATTAAATATGGCCAGATCAAAACGTGCTGCTACTGTTCTGGTTTGGTGAAATCGAATCTTTAACGTATCTGCTATTCTCCAAAAGTGTCGTATTGCTGCCTTTATTGGCCATTGTCCGAGAAATCGTCACTCCAAAAACGGCATGCTTGGGAAATTGAAAAATTATATATAGGTTGTAAGACATTTTTCACTTTTTCATACAATTTGCATCTTATTCCAAGTTTAATTAACACACAGTATCGGTGTTTGAAAAAGTAAGAAAACGGAATATTACGATATTAGGTGAGTTTATTTGAAATACCAAACCTTTTCAAAATATGTGAACATCTACGCTATTCAAATATTTGAGATATACGCTATGTTTGGTATTATAAATGGCCAAGTCAAAACGTGCTGCTACTGTTATGGTATAGTGAAGTCGAATCTAAAAGGTATTTGCTTTTTTCCGAATGTGTCGTAGTGCTGCCTTTATTGGCGGTTTTCGAGAAATCGCCCTTTCAAAAACGATTATTTTTCGGAATTCAGAAAAGAACCCATTATAGAGAGCGTAAAATGTTTTTTTTTTATTTTAAACTTTCCCAATTAATTCTTAGTTTAATAAACGTACAGTATTCATTTGTGACAAAGAGAAAAATATATTTGATCAATTTTCCAGCAGCTTCAGTTGAAATACAAATCCTATTAAATTTGTTACGTCGACAATGTTTATAAAACTGAGAATACACGCTATTTTGGTATTATATGTAGCCGAGTCAAAACATGCTGCCACTGATACTTTTTCCGAATGTGTCGTAGTGCTGCCTTTATTGGCGGTTTTCGAGAAATTCCCCTTCCAAAATCGATAATTTTTCGAAATTTTGAAAAGAATTATACTTTTCTTCTGCAACTCATTCTAAGTTTAATAGACGTACAGTATTAATGTGTGACAAAGAGAAAAATATATATTTTATCAATTGTTCAGCAAATTTAGTTGACATACAATTCCTTTTTAAATTTGTTTCGTCCACATTGTTCATAAAATTGAAGAGTATACGCTATGTTTGGTATTATATATGGCAAAGTCAAAACGTTCTGCTACCGTTCTGACATAATAAAATTGAATCTATAAGGTATGTGCTTTTCTCTGAATGTGTCGTGATGCTGCCTTTATTGGCGGTTTTTGAGAAATCACTAATCCAAAAACGATAATTTTCGAAATTCTCAAACTAATTCAAGGGGGTGCGCAAAATTTTTATTATTACTTTATACTTTCTGAAACTTATTCTAACTTTAATAGACGTACAGTATTGATGTGCGACAAAGAGAAAAAGATATTTGATCAATTATCCTGCAACTTTAGTTGAAATACAAACCCTTTTTTAATATGTTACGTACCTTTGTTTTAAAAATCGAGGAATATACGCTATTTTGGTATTATATATGGCCAAGTCAAAACGTGCTGCTACTGTTCTGGCATAATAAAATCGAATCTATAATGTATGTGCTTTTATCCGAATATGTCGTAGTGCTGCCTTTATTGGCGGTTTTCGAAAAATCGCCATTTTAAAAACGATAATTTTTTGTAATCCAGGACAGAATCCACTAGGAGTCGCAAATGATTTTTTGCTGTTTTATACTTCCCGCAACGTATTCCAAGTTTAAAAGATGTACAGTATTAATGTGTGACAAAAAGAAAATGATATTTTATCCATTATCTAGCAAATTTAGTTGAAATACAAAATCAATTTTAAATTTGTTACGTCCATGCCGTTATTAAAATTTAGATTACACGATATGTTTGGTAATATATATGGTCAAGCCAAAACGTACTGCTACTGTTCTGTTATAGAAAAATTGAATTTATATGGTATCTGCTTTTCTCCAAATGTGTCGTGGTGCTGCCTTTATTGGCGGTTTTCGAGGAATCGAGGTTCCGAAAAGGATAATTTTCCGAAACTTTGTATTTGCGGAATACCTGAAAATTCATTTTTCGCTTAGTTAGTCTTTTTTTGAACACTATTTTCTTGTTAAATTTAATGTATTCATTCAGTTTAAAGATTTTTCATCTATTTTCGTGACAATATTATATTTTGATCAGCATTTTCAATTTTCATATTTACCTATAAGTGAACACTATATGCGCGTGGAACCTATATTCAATGTGTAAAAATATTCTGGCTGAAAGTGCTGCTAGCTTCACAGTGGTATCATACTGTGGTACCGGTACGCAATTTTCGAGATTTTAGTGTCGAATTAGTTGCCTCAACTTTTTTTTCTTGAATAAACAGTTTCAAACTTTTAAAAAAATTCTCCACAAGTAACAATTAAAATAGAAAAAATATAAATCATACCACTACCAAAATTTCGTATCATCTGAAATTCTTTTACCAAGGTAAATGCAAGCAAACTTTAAATATTCGGAGGCCGCCATGTTTGTTTTGACAGGGACTCGTTGTTAAGACAACGTTCAGTGAACCATGACCAAATTAATTTTTTAGACACATGATGGCGCTATTGCACCACAAGAAAAAAATCAAAACAAACAAAAAAAGGGAAATTTTGCAAAACTTCAGACTACGAGAAGCGCTGCACGCACTGTTTCAGTTCGTTAGCGTGCGGTCCTGCTGCCTTATGTAACTGGATCTGGAGATAGATACCGTATCTTATCCCTCCCTGAAAACTGTAAAGCTTAGTTCCGACGACGAACTTTCATTTAACACTCGCTTGTTACGTGTTTTATGAATGAGTTCACATTGTACCATGCCAAAGCAGTACCGGTATATAGCAACAGTATACAGGTATAAGTTATAGGGTCTTACTACTTACTGAATACAGCGCGAAACACCGCAAAGAGCGCGAAACAGCGCAAAATAGCGCAAAAGAGAGGAAAACAGCGCGAAACAGAAGGAAACCAGCGCAAAACAGAGGGGAACAGCGCAAAACAGGAGACGCAGTCATTACCACCTCCTGCCACGAAAGGTGTGGCGCGGTGGTGTGGCTCAACGGGCTAAGCGTTAGGAATACGCTCGCCACCGCACCTCTAATTACTCTGCGTGGGTTCGCAGGTTCGAATCCCATGCAGGGATGGTTATGTGCGAGAGGATTGCTGGACTCCTCGCCGTCGTTGGGTGGTTCACGTAACCGCTGGTCGGTTACGGCTTCCTCCACCACCAAGTCCATGCTTCCGAAAACAAACAATACAGTAAAAACTAATCCCATACCCGACTTGGAATGGTAACCGGAGGAGAGGCCGTGGTTCGCCATATGGATAAGCCGTCTTATCGGCTTTCCTCTCCCCCGGGATAAATATGTGAATCCTATCCTATCCTAACCACGGCGCCTCTCGCCATGGTTTTATGGCGCTATTTCCGGCATATTTACAAGGTTATGTACCGGATTATAGGTCATCATGCGAAATTTTATCTACCTTTTTGGTGCTCCAGAAGTATGTGCAGCAATATGTCGCACAACCTGAATCCGCTACACACACACATACTATTTTCAGGTTGTGCGCCATCTTGGTGCACATACTTCTGGAGGTCCCTTTTTACCTAACCCTAGCCCTAAAGCCAACCATATCCATATGGAAAATGTTCTAAATTATGGTACCCAAAATGTGTCACCAGCAGGGGCAGACCTGCCATTACAGCATTACTGGCTACATACGTTGGTTTGTGTTTTTAATTTGCTGCCGTGGTACTCCAACTCAAAACAAGGTGCCCCGAACTCATTGCAAAATGTTTTTCTGCTTCACACTGTTTCCCTCTGTTTTGCGCTGTTTCCACACTGTTTTGCGCTGTTTCCCTCTGTTTTGCGCTCTTTACGGTGTTTTGCGCTGTACTCAGTAAGTAGTAAGACCGATAAGTTATACTATAACAGAACAGTCAGACAGTATACCGGTAACATGGTTTCGGGGGTTCTGTATGCTAATGCTGTAACGGTAATGTTTGTTGGTTTGCTGTAATGTCAGCAGCAGCAAGTAGCCTACTGGTTCTGTTATTCTACAGTAAGCCCATAGCCATTATAGCATGCTACATTTTGCCGAATGTTTCCCCATTCTGCCAGTCTAGGATACGGTACCGTACCATACAGTCACTCATTAATTTCCTATTTTCTGATTGCAGTAATAAAATAAATTGCTACTAACAACAATCAGCAAATTTAATTTGTGTTTCGTACTTTTTGATTTTGGTTTATGATTGCGATGCGAGCAACAGCATACTCTACCCTACCACGCTTCGTTTCTGACAAAATTCATTGACGTTGATAATTCTTCTTACACATCCACATTCTGAATATTTTTGAGACCAGTTTCGAAAAGAAAAATGGGATATTTTCTTGGATATGTTCCTCTGTTTACAATTCTCTTGTTGTTTTCTATTCTTTCAAGTTGTTCATCGGCTGAGCATGATATATCCCTCGAAGATGGTTAGTATTGTTCTGTTTTTGTTATCGTTTACATAAGTCTTCGGTGGGCCGGATTATAACATGAATAGTATTCAATATCTTAATCACATATTTATTTGCTAATGCAAGAAAGAAAGTTATAAATCGCGTTTAAAATAAAGTTTAAACTTTACAAAAAATAAAGACACATAATGAAATTATCGTAATATACTTAAAGTGTAATAATGTAATATCATGATGTACAGTCAGCGGGCCGGTCAAAATCTTGTCGCGGGCCGTATGTTGCCCATCTATGTGCTTGTTGGTAAAGTCTAATTTGCCAAATACAAATTTCTGACCCCCTTCAAAAAATTTCTTGATGTGTCTCCCTGGTTTACATGTATGACTAGGCTAGTTGAAGTCTTGAATTTGTGATTACTCTGACGTTTACTTTTTTGTATTTACTATTTCCTCCATTTTGATATGGTGTGTAGCCTTAAATATTTTCATTATCTAACGATTTTATTTTTATGTTTCAGAAGCTAAGGAAAACAATTATCAAGTCTGGTATCATAGAATCAGAAGAAGTTCAGAAGGTGCAATGATATTTTTTTTTATAAAATTTACTACTGTTCAAAAAGTAATACTACGTACGGGCCATCGAAGGAAGGACATTCTTTCAAAAAGTTTTTATATTTTTCACTTACCACTGCAGTTCAGAATATAATTAAAAAATTTTCAAAATGAGGAAATCACCTTAAGGTGATGAGTTTGCATTTGCCTAAGCTTTTTCATTTTGAAACTACAGTACAGTAATATGAAAGAAGCAAAAATAAGCTAGTTTCACATTATTGTTCACATCTGTAAATATTTCTCATCTTAATAAATAGGTGGTCTACTATTATTGTATTTCTTAATCATCACTGATATTCTCAATTCTAGATGAAATATCACATGACAACACCACATCTTCTGATGAAAATTCTCATCATCCAGGTATTCTGTAGCAGTAACTGCATTAGTGGCTTGTCTGGAGCATATTTAAGAGCAAATTTGTATAATACCTACTTACTTTTCGAATATTTTAGATACATTTTTTAAAACTATTTTCCGATTCATTTCATGTTCTTGCAGTATTATTTTTTTGTATTTTGTCTTCAACAACCACAATATGTCTCAGGGTTTGGTTTTTTAAAAATATTCAGTAATTTTTTATATTATGCTACAACCCATTTGATTAAGAAGTGTTAATATGCCATAAATCATGCTTTGAGAAGCTTAGACTTGTTTTTACAAATTGGTCTAAATAATGTCAACTGGGGACAACTGAGTGTCAGTACTATAAACTAAATGTTAGTTTCTCATTTCTTCTCCTATAAAATGAGTAGTTAATAGAAATTTGATTTGTAATAAAAAATTTGTTCCTTTTTATTTGTAGAGCGGTATCATGTTGCAAGTATAAACTGGAGAAGAGTGGAGAATCCTTTCATTGTCTGTATTTGGATTATCTTCGCTGGTTTAGCTAAAATAGGTTTGTTGGTTTTGTATATACTTATCGTATTGTATCAGTCGTCAACAAAGTCATAAACTACGTCGATTTCAAATTCAATTCGTGGCTAGTGGAATAAAACAAACGTCGGTTTTAAGGAAGCCATATATAAAATTCTCATGCTTTACAAATGTTATGAAAAGATATCTATAATAGTTTACAACTTTACATACAATATTTTATCTGAGTAAATCTGAATAAAACTTCTGTATGGCCTGCCGAGATTATGACAAGTCAATTTTTACCCTTCTCCCCATCACAAAAAAAGATTACCACTCCATGCTTTAAATCAGGGGTTCTCAAACTGGGGTACCCCCAGGGGTTCACGAGAAGATTTCCAGGGGTACTTGATCGGCAGTCGTGTTTTTGTGTGTTGCTGCTTTTTAATATCTTTTATTACTACCATCATTATGATTCATCGCATGCAACAATCTGTTTTTTAAAAGTACCGTTAAAGAACTTTAGCCCAGTCTATCACAGCTATTTTTACAATTATTCAATATTACAGCAAATAAACTCTTGAGAAGACAGAGTGATCATTGAATTATCTGATTTATATTTAAATTTCCGAAACACAACTGAAAACTAACAAATAGAGTTCAAAAACGCAAACGCGAGGTAATATTTACGACCATGTCTGAAAGTCTGTCTGAGTGAGAAAAGTGTCTGAGCGGATGCAAAAAGGGAGCATTGTAACGTCACTTTTTGCATCTTGCTGATTTGACAATGTCATGAAGTAAACAAGGAAGTCGATGCTCGGGGAAAGGTCCATTGAAACGTAGATTTTACCTGATGTTGTGTTGTTGTAATTGTGGCGCAACAATGTGAAATTCACGGCTTTCAGGCAAACTGTGGAATCTTAAAAAACCGCATGCTGTGATCATTGGAAAGTGATTATGCTTATTAAAACTTGGGAGAGATTTTAAGAATTCCTTAGTTAGGCGGAGGACAAGGGCAATAATATCAACACGAAGATTTAATTTAGTTGCGTCTGGCCAATAAATTTTTGTTTCAACAAATCGTTAGTCAATATAAAATTGTATTATATATCACAAGTTTGTTCGGTGTCTGATTACCGGGGGTTCGCGTTGATTTTTTCGTGACTCTGGGGGTACTTGACAGATAAAGGTTGAGAACATCTGCTTTAGATGAAAATAATATTATATTGTTACTCAACAATTTCTCGCAGACAATCATTTTAATATATTTACCATAATACATTTAAAAGCAAAACAGTATGTAAAACTTTACATACCTAATGATAATTCCCACTGGATTTTAGGATCAATTTTTTAATCAAACATTTTTTCTAATTGATAAATTCATTTGTTTTTCAAGTTTTTCGATCGAAATACATGCACAAAGTCGTCTCAAGAGTTCCCGAAAGTTGTCTTCTTATTTGTCTCGGACTTATTGTCGGCGGAATTGCATACGCGATTAACAAAGACCATCAGATTGACAAATTGCTTTTTAATCCCGACACGTTTTTTCTATTCATTCTACCGCCCATTGTTCTTGAAGCTGGGTATTTTATGCCAAAGGAACCCTTCTTCGATAATCTGGGAAGCATTCTAACATATGCAATCATAGGAACTATATTTAATGCCTTTGCCATTGGATTATCATTATATGGAGTTTACACAGCGGGACTTATGCCAGGTATATTATTTTTGTATTCATTTTTTTGTTTTGTTCAAGTTTCACTGTTAAGCATTATATTTATATATAACATTCAAAATTCCACTTCTCCGCTGGCCGCATAATTTTTCCTTGTGGGCTGCATTTGGCCCGCGGGCCGCAGATTGTACACCCTTGGGCTAAACAATAGGCATTGGAGGTATTTTTTATGATGAAATCCCTACACAATTTTGTTCAATGTACACCACGTTAATAAGGATCATTAATTCTTATGTTCAATTTATACTTTTAAACTGCTAAATGTAATTCTGCAATTTTCATCTGAAATTTGCCATAGAGGAGACACAAATTAACTATGATTGTATGGCAATTGTGAATTTTATGGAGAAAAGATTCAATTGCATTGTTTTTGTCTTATTACAGCGATGCAGCACATTACTCTTCTTCAGTGCCTTTTATTTGGAAGTATAATATCAGCTGTGGATCCTGTTGCCGTAATATCAGTATTTGAAGAAATTCATGTCAATATAGTTCTATATATTTGTGTTTTTGGGGAATCACTCCTAAATGATGGTGTCGCGGTGGTAAGTTATTTTATTTTACATGGAAGCATCAAACTTTTCAATACAGAAATGTTGTTCTTTATTAATTGTGACTTCCTCAGTCCATAAACTTTACCATGCTGTTTATTCAGGTGGTTATCAGTGTTTTTTACTTTGCGACCCAACTTTATTATCATGTATAACAGTTTCAACTCACGACCCAAATAAAGGTAATTTGCTAAAATTGCTAGTTAATATCACGCTCAGAAGCCAGAACCTGGAGCCATGTAGCTTCGACATTTTGGTGGAGCTGGAGCCAAGCTTACCACCATATTGGATGGTTATCGGGAAATTCAGTTGTCAGTAATTGTTTTTTGTCATATTTATAATTTTCTGCTACAAAGAAATGATCAAATCTGTCTTGTAAGCATAACATCTTTTCATTTGTCAGGTTTTGGCATTGGACAGAGTAAAATTGATTGTGTAAAAGCGTTACTGGCATACAAAAATATTTATATTATACGGACAATATTGACAAATATAAGTTACTTTGTGGCAATTTTGTGGGCTACATGCATTTGCTGTGTATTCACCATCTTTCATTAATCTAGCAAAGTGATTGCTATATTTTGTAGGGTGGGGACATGTGTGATTGTAATTTCCCTTGCAATTTTGGTTAAGATTATTTATTTCTAATTTGTGACATTTTTTCTAAAATGCTTCAATAAAAATCTAGGTTTGTATAAATTTTTTTCGCACTCTCAGTGGTAAATTACATAAAAGCAGATATATTTTCACAAAAGATTTTTTTTGCAAGTTAATAATCAATTTCCATTCTTTTTCTGTCAAATATTGCTGAATCATACCTAATTGTTAAAATGGGTTTTGTTCCACTTCCACATTTTAGTTTTTGTATTTTAAAATAGTTTCAACACTATGACTATGTTATCTTGTTTTCTAAGTATTCGGAAGTCAATATTTAAAATACCTTATCAATGAGCTCTTCAGTAAACAAAATGGTCAACTTTTAATAATCAATTTAAAAACCAAAATGGTAGAAAAATGCACTGGTATTATTCACCTATTTACACACCTATTTTTATATTTTCTGTATTATAATTCTGACCCCATCAAATATTTGTTTTCATGATTGATTGTGCATGGGCCAGGTTTGAAGTATATCTTTATTAAAGTTCAGATCATCTTAATAAACCCATGTTTTGGTAAAACATACATTATATCAGCCGTAGGAATTAGATTCCAATACCAGTTTGTATTAATAACAATGTTATGTGATTTTTCAAAATTATTGTTATTTATCACACATACGCGCAAACAGAATCAATCCATGCATTCAAATTTTTGTGTAATGATTTGTTAACGTCATAAATATCTGAATACATTATATTTCCATTTTAATAAAATACATACCTAGGTAATTTCGAATTTCATATTTTTTGATTGGAATGGAATATGAAAACCTGTTAATGACATATGTGGCGCATTATACTGAGCACTGGAAATACGCTTGCCACCGCACCTCTGATTAACTTGAGTGGGTTCGAATTCTGTTCGGGGATAATTATGCGTCAGAGGATTGCTTGGCTTCTTGTCAACGTAGGGTGTTTCACATAACCGCTGGTCAAATAACTGGCTAACTAATCCTATACGCAACATGGACTCATCATATGATAAGCCATCCTATTGGCTTCCCTTTCCTAAGGCATAAATATGTGAATCCCATCCTACAAACAAGAATTGATAGTCTAAATAAAGAAAACTAAATGTAGATGAGAAAATTCCAATTTAGTCGAAAATATTTAACAACAAATTATGCGATTTGCCGGTATGTTATATTTCGTATATGTCTGAATTATTGAGAATTTAACATTTGTTGTTATATTGTATGAGTGACTAAAATAATTATAGTACTATTTATCACATACAAAAATGCACATTTAACAACTGTTTTTTTATGTATTAAAAACATTATATAATCCTATAGTCACATTAACACAATGTTTTTTCTTATCAATTATTCAAGCCGTTTTATCTCCTTTAATCCATATTAAAAGAACACTTGAGATTGGGCTTTGCGATTTGCTTCAATCAGCTTATATTATTGATTAAATGATTTTCTTTTTGGTCTAAATATTGTTTAAAAATTGCACAATAACATTGATTTTGAATTTGAATAAAAGGGCATTGCTCAAATATATGGCCACAAAGGTTAAATGTCATAACAGTGAATTGGAATGAAACGACAAAATTGGGGCAAAATCAGGCCTGGTAATGCCCATCGAAAAACTTGAAAAAAAGTGATAGTTATATAGTTACTTTTTACAAGTATTTAAATTTGAAATTGAGTTGTCGTAGCAAGTCATTTTTTCACAAATACAACAGCAATTTAACAGAGCCATCCATATATTATGTACATTCCTTGTCTAATAAACACATTGCTATCTCAGATAACTTATCTGTATAGAATAGAGATGCTATTTTAGAATTCTTTCCTCCAATTAACTTCAAATAATCAGTGATATAGTTATCTGTTGAGATTACGCAAGACTAATTATTCAATTTGCATACAGCTATGTTAGCATTTCCAAGATTAACTTTGGTATGTTAACACCACTTGTTTGGAGAAGTTTTCTATTTTAATGTTTATTATAGATTGTTCTCTGGGAAACAATTTTGCCTCTGATACTGAGAATGTAATTACCAAATAAAAATATTAGTAATTTCTCTATTTTTGCCTTTCAGTGGAGATTATTGAATTATGCAAATCCTATGTAGAATTTATTCAATATTTAAAATTCAAGATTAGTTTTCAAGGACGTATTTTGAATATTAATCTAATTTGTTTTCTTCTACCCTTCATGAACTATAGATTTTATAGAAAACAAATATTCCATTGTTCCAGTTAGATTAATTAGCCTTGATTTTTTTTTTGAACTGTATTCAAAGGGTGGGATTGGATCAATAGTTAATTCATGCCGAGTGCTTAGGAACGATATTATTGGGGATGTCATCATCTCAGTGGTTCTATAGCAGAAGTGTGCAACAGAGGCCCGCAGGCCACAACTCAGCCCGCCAACTTGTTTAGTGCGGCCTTGTCAACACGATTTTTCCCCATCTAGCATAAAATTCTAATCTGACAATTTATATTTTTATTTTTTCTATTTATTTAATTTGTTATATATTTATATTATATTTAAAAAGGCACTCACATAGGTGATCACATAGGTGATTTTTGCTTTTGTCCCTGTCTTAAATCTTTTCGCCTTTATTACTGGAAGCGTGGCCACATTTTATTCTCCTGCCTTTTCCATGTGTAAGCTACATGGAAAAACTATTTTTTGTGTGGCCCAGCTAAATGTCCGTAAGTTGGTTATATACCCCATAACCCCACCAACGGAAAATGTTGCACACCCCTGCACTACAGGCTTCTTTATAAGTCATAATAATTTAGAACTAATGTACAAATCTCCTTTTTTTTCAAATGCACATCTACAACTCTAATTCTTGTTAATGTCATATTATGCCAATTCTGTACTTACTACAGTATAACCGAATCCGAGATCATGAATTTTGAATGTATTCAAATATTCCATTCATTTTGACAACCTTGTTGAAAATACAATCAAAGTTAGAAAGGTCGCATCCTTTTTTATGCATTCTGTCATGTTGCAGAATACTGAACAATTATTTAATTTCAATTCCAGGTTTTATATCACATATTTGAGCAATATATTGAGATGGATGAAATCCTACCTATCGACTATATAGCGGCAGTAATGTCGTTTTTCGTCGTTGTATTAGGAGGTTTATCACTCGGAATCATTTATGGATATTTTGGATCATTTATCACCAAATACACAGTCAACAATAGAGTTATCGAACCTACGTTTGTGTTCGTCACATGTTATCTCGCTTACCTCACTGCCGAAGTATTTCACCTTTCTGGAATCATTGCGTAAGTTCATTTGTTATAATGGCGGTTTTATTACTGTTTTATAATCGATTCAAGTAATAGCCAAGCAGGACATGGGTTCATCTCCTTATAATTAAATTCACCCTAGTAACTGTCTCATGTTTTGTTTAATTTCATTAGTTGGTCAGTTAATATTAAGCCCTTTTTATTAATATATAATCATAGCTACAGTGGTCAAAGAGTTTCATTTTCTTCGAAAACAATTCAATGAATTCAAAGATGTAAAATTGTTTTCCGCAAGAAATGTACCTTCCATTTGCCTCACATAATTGAGGGCATTCAGGTTGTTGTTGTCATACAAAAGTATTCCTTTACTGTACAACTACTGGATCGAACGCTTTGAAATTTTTGAATAAATAACAATGGAAACGTTCCAAAATATGCTATTTGACAATTTTTAAGGTTTTGCAAATTTGTCTGGACTACCTACGCTACAATGTTGTTTTACTTCAAATTAGTGAATTTGATAATAAAATATACGGCCGATTGCAATTTTGAGAATAATTTACTGTGCTGGTTGTCAGCTAACATTAATTAATATATACACCATATACTCTTATTAATTAATCATAATCATGCGTACTGGCAAACGATAATAAATCGGAATGCTTATAGTCGAGGTATAGTAATCTCAGAACTTTGGATATGTAAATTATCTTTGACAAGAACTTATAAACATTTTTTTAATTAAGCTAGCAGTTTGTCAGTCTAGAATTGGCAGCAGACAAATTTTACTATATTGGTTTTATATTGACCCATAATACAATATTGATGGAACTCTATTATTGTAGGACAAGGGCAGTAAGGTAAATTGAACTGAAGAATTATATTGGATGTAAAAAAATCTATAAATTTATTTCTATAATTACTTTATCGACTTGAAACTTATTGAGTCTTCAAAGTTCAATTCTAAATTAGTTACGGGTGCCATGGGAAATATTGCAGTTTATTGGATAGCAAGCGCTGAATTTCATGGAGATTATTATTAATGAGAAACGAATTTTGGTTTCAAATTCCTGGGTCTAAAGGAATTATATTTATGGCCGATTAGAAAATTTTAATAATATGGTTGCATGGCATTTACAGGGTAGAAACAAAAAAAATGATAATCCTGGTCATTTGGAACATATTCTAGAGAGAACCTTTGTATAAATCGTTCTAGACTTGGAACATATTCTAGAGAGAACTTTTGTATAAATCGTTCTAGAAACTTTTGGGTACAATCATACACAAACATATAAGTTCAAGAGTCAAATAAATTTTCCCTTTTCTTTTTTTCGTGGATGTAATTACAAAATTTATGTGATTAGTTTTATTTTTGAGTAGGCTACCCTGTATCTGAATTATTCCGTTTTATTCTGTATTCTACGGAACAAAATTTGAACATATTATTCAAAACAAAACTCATAATGATTTCATGTAAAAACTTATAATTATGATCTGTTAAAATGAACTCTTTTCCACATTACTAGATGTATAAAAAAAACAAAAATGAAAACCAAAGTAATAATGAAATGTATGATAAAATTGGATTATGGTACAAATCCATTTTCTTCCACAGGTCACATGTAACTTAGTTCTAGAGATGAATCTCCTTTACTTCTGAGTGAATGCCTGTTTGACCGTGCGTTGAGCAATATTCAAAAATCTTCATTTTGATATATTGAATAATTATTATAATAAATACTATGAGACTGTCCAACAAGTTTTAAAAAAAAATTTAAAGTCCCGTGGGTGCAGTGAAATGCTATTGATTATATTCCTTAAATGCAATATTACTAATTGGATATGTGTTGGAATTGGAGTGTATAATTACAACATGTTGATGACAGAAAAGATCTTTTTTGCAGGGAATTTTTAAAAATATTGTATTTTATTTTGAGTAGGCCTATTCATATTCAATCTGTTCATTGAATCATTGCAATATCATGGTTACCCCATGCATGATCTGAGTAAATAACCAAATACTTGTGTGGTTGGTGTAATTTGCTTTCCATTGCACATGATCATAATATGACACATCTAAAAACCCCTTATGGTATTTCGCAAGTCATCGTTAGGTACATTTTTCTATTTTGGTGTTTGGATGGTATTTCCTCCTGTGGTGTGGAGTAAATCACTAATGTAGGCTATGTGTAATTAGTTTCACCGCAGTTTTCATTAACTCATTATCATTAGGTATAGCTATCAAAAGTAAATTTTTATTCTGTCAGCGAAATTATGTTATTTACTGAAAAATGTGTTTAAAATACAATTGCAAATAAATCTGATATATTTTTTGTAACAAACAGTCCAATTTGATAAAAAAAATTGATATTCATATAAAAATTAAATTCTAAGCGTTAATCTGTTGATACAGAAGCCTTCATTCATAATTCTTGTTGTTAATAATGCCTCAAGCTTTGAATATTAAGTATGGTTTGCATTATACCTCACAGATCATGGGCTGTAAGAGCAAAACAACAGTTATTAGATAAATAGTTTCTACAAACCTTTTTTTCACATGTACTGCTGTTTTGATTTGAAGGCATGAGGTTCATTGTTTTCCATTTTGGTTTTGTAACACTGTAAATATTGTTCATGAAATGTACTTTTAATTCACACTTACATGGTCCGCCAGTGCAGGTGGGCAAGGTTTTTGGACCAGGAAGGGACTCCTGAGCTATGGCCCTTTATCTTCACCCACCAGCCTACTCTGCATTGAATAAATTCAATTTATATGGGGAATTTGCTGTAATCTAGAATAATATTTCATATTTAAAAGGGTCATAGAAAGTCTATCCAGTTTTAGCCAGCACAGCTTTAAACAAAGAGGCGAAACTTGAATAAGATGTTTTTAAAAAAAACTATTTTCGATTTTATTTAAACTTGTGTAAATTTTTATCGAAATAATTTGTGGAAAATTGCTTCAATTATTGTTAGAGACCAGCTCAAAAATCCCTGCTTTATTTATAATATTTTATAATCATATTATTCGAGTTATACTTTCGGTTTTATTCTTTTATCTTTTTATTATTTTCACATTGTCAATTGTGATTATTTTTCGCTTTAATTTAGTATTGATCCTTAGATAACAATGGAGTGATAATACATAGGCAGCTGTGGTTTAATTCACTGTCTATTCAAGAGAATTCATCTACGTGCTGAAATTCACTATTGCCAATGTCATACCAATATTTTTGGTTTATGTTCGATTTTTATCATACTTCTACTGCAAAAAGTTCTCGGTTCGGAATTCCTTACTCAAATTATTATACCCTGGGGTAGGTAGTAGGGTAGGTTGTTGTAAAATGCGATTTCATCATATTTTGAGTAGTGTTCATGTCAAGTTTACCCAAACCAAGAAACCCTGGTTCTGGAGCACTTTTTGAAGCTTGAAACCAATTTTTTGGCAAAACCTGTTTCTCAATATAAGGTCATAATGATTGCTGACTCGTAAATTTCCATCAGGCATTTGAAAATAACAGTAGGGTGGGTGTTTGGATAGAAAAATAATATATTGAGCTGCCGGCCTGCCGCTGAGACTGCAAAAACCCGATACCTGGCTTTCAAAATAGTAAAAACTATATAGTATAATATCATTTGTTTTTGCTTTTAGGATTGTGTTTGCTGGTTTTATTATGAATTCATATGTCGAGCACAACATTTCACCGAAATCTCACACGACTGTAAAATACGGAATGAAAATGCTTGCTGGAATGTGCGAGACTATTATTTTCATGTTGTTGGGTATTGCAGCAGTAAGTGATTTCTGGCAACACTGGAATACTGGATTCGTTATATGGACTCTGATATTTATTACAATATACAGGGCTATTGGTAAGATATGTGATTCGTATGTGAAAGTGAATAATTTATAATTACGAAAACATCCTAAATATTGTTTTTCAAATTGCCCCGTACAAGGCTCTTTACGAGCAGTCGTTTAGAGCAAGGCTTCTCAAACTGGAGGTTGTGACCTCGCAGGGGGCGCGCAACAAATTTGAGGGCTAAAAGGCCGCAAAGACTACACCAATTTCACACAAAGTACTAGATCTGATGTACTTTTTTAGACTTTTGATTTATTAAAACCCAACTATTTAAAACTAGTGCAAAACACAAATATCATGATTTTGAGAGAATACATAGGATCAGAGAAGAGCGTGCGCTTGCATAACAATGTTGGGTGGGGGAAAATTTTAATACTGTATATCGGAAGGAGTCGCGAGATTAACAAGTTTGAGAATCCCTGATTTATAAGTCCTATAGGTTCTTTGCCAACGAACTATTCCAGTTCCGAAGGAATAAGACATTATGCGTCATAATGAGTCAAACAAATATATTTCAAAAAAATGTCAAATAAAAGTGAATCCACAGAACCCCAGCTAAACTGTCAAGCACTCTCGGGTGCTACACTCTTCTGGGCCGCGAATATACTTCTGATTCCAATTATGGCCTGCGGCCAATAAAGTTTGGTAACCCCTGTCCTAAAGCAAATCAAATTATTACTTCCAGGCGTTGTTGTTCTTACAAAGATTCTAAACTATATTCGATTGGATAAAATCAACGCCGTTGATCAATTTGTTATGGCTTATGGTGGTTTACGTGGAGCTATCGCTTTTTCACTGGTTTCTCTTACATCGTCAGAAGTTGTTCCGGCAATCAAAACAATGGTCTGCGCTTGTATCGTTTGCATTTTGTTCACATCATTCGTTCAGGTAAATCTTAGTTTAATTTACATGTTCTCTTCGACAGGCTTATCTGTATCATGATTCCAAGCTTTTTAAAAAAAGATAAAAAAAAACATTTGGTGTGAATCTTTTTTTGTTTATGGGTATTTTCTATGTTGGGATGGTGTTTTAAAATATTTATTAGGACTAATGTTTTGTTAGGAATATAGATAACAAAACGATGTTATCATTTAAATGACATTTTTTGGCTTTTGCGATGAATGTACTTTTGAAAGATTTATATACTCTGATCTAAAATGATATTTGCACAAAAGGGTCAAGGTTTGCCCTTCGTTCTTCGTGTAGATATTTATATTGTTGTCAACTCTACCCCATATTTTAATTAAATACATTTCATGATATAATATGTCCGTTTTTTATACGATCCTAGTAAGGTCAGTGGATAATTGTACAGCCCTCCGCGGAACAAGCATGCAAATATATATAAAAAAAAAGAATTAGTGCAGTTGTATCAAGTTTACCGATTAATATTTCATATGCATTTATGTCATTAAATATGGAAATAATGTATTGCTTCGTGTTATATGCTAAACATTTTAGAATAAAAAGAATATTCAAAGTGACATGACCATGAATGTTTATCATGATCAAATTCATTTATGTAAAGAAGGACAGTTGCCTTCATTTGTTATATTCGTAAAAGCTTTTATGATGTCACAGTGCCAATAAATCACTTCTCTATTGAACTCTTAACATTGATTAAAATGTCTTCTAACATATGGCTTTTTGTGAGCAATCTCAGAATTGATTTATCATTAGATCATGGTTGGTGAAGCATGGTCTATATAAAACTAATTTTCTTATTATGGGCAAATTGATTTCAAACTAGAAAATTACTTTGGTATTGAAAGAAGTTGGCAATTTGGATAGTATGAATGGGGGAAGTATTTTTGTAAACTATAAAAAATTTATGTGTCTCCCACAAACAGACATCAGAAATTATGTCATCCTATTGTACAATGTACACCATCAATATTCCAAGACTAGTATTATCTCTGTTTGCCAAATAGCAGTCAATAAACAAATGAATAACCAGAACTTCTACATTATTGGATTTTCCATCAATACTTATATTTATTTAGTCAATATTCCTAATTGTTGTGTAGTGACTCCAGCTTACTAGGCACTGGAATCAGTTTTTCTCATCAACTTTTAAATCTTAATTTACTGAGGGCTGGATTTTCTATTATTCATGAGTCTTGTTTGCGTGGATGTCCGAAACAAATCAAATAAATTTCAGAATTATGAATGTTATGTGGACAAAATGACATTTCTCGTACATTAGACATAATTATATTTGCAGTCGAGTCATTCTAATTAAGTTATTTTATTAAAATGCATTAGCTTCGCTGTATTGAGTCATAGTAATAAAATCTGTGACTAATCAAATTTGGTCTGGATTATTTATGTGCAGGGTTTGAAATTAGAATTATTCATATGCAAGGTACGAAATTAGAATTATTTTTGTTTTGGCTAATGTCAGGGATAATTATTTTCGTTGTCTTTATTGTGTCATAGTGGTTTGTGGTTTGTAACAATCTTTGTATGTGGTGATCGGAATGTATGTGGTGCTGTGATATAATGCTGATGTAGAATTGTATCACCGCAGTAAAACCAAATTAGTATTCAGAAAGGGACCTTTTTTGTCATTATAATTGACTTCTGCCATCTTTTGGTTTGGGTAGTGCCTTATATCCATTTGTGTTAGAACCAAATTACAATCTATGCTGGTAACTTCATGGCTGAGTGAGCTTTTTCACTCATTTTTAATAAATATTATACACAATCTTGTTATTAATTGAATTCAAAATTAATGTTCAAAATCAAAAACGTTGATTTTCAAAAATTCAGGAAAATTAATTTATATTGAAATGTTATTTAGCCCTTTTGAAGGCTGCCAGGGTTTTGTTTTTAATTTTACAAAGGATATCTTGTTTTTTCCGGCTGATAACACAACTGCAAGATTTGAAATAAAAATTGATCCCCGTTAGTCCTAATAACTGTGTTGACATCACAGGTTGCATGTCTCGAATTGCCACCTCACCCAGGGTGTAAAAAATTGGGTGAGCAATGCTAAACCGAAAAAATTCTGATTCTTCTGAAAATAGTAACTTCTTAGGTTACTGTACTTTTCGTTAGTGGCCGCTCACTGCTCAGTACATTGCCTTTTTCGGAAGAAATGCATCAATATTCACCATATAAAAATGAAATACGGGAAACTATCCAGATCACATAAGTACATTCCGTTAATTTTGATTTAAAAAAATAATATTCTAGTTTGTAGTCTTTTGATAAATTTCTTTCATTTAGTAGTTAGTAGACATCTGGTTCAATGGTATTTTAAAACAGGTTAGACAAACATTGATAATGGCGGTGTCTGTGCTAACATTGACATTACCAACGACCGAAAAATAAATATTTGGTGACATATAAGTAACATTTCTAATTGGTTTCTCTTATTAATTTTTTTTCGCAGGGGTCGACTATTCGACCAATCGTCGAGTTACTACATGTAGCGACGGCAGATGAACATAAAGAAACAATGTTTGAAGACATTAACATGAGGGTATGGAATGTATATTTTTTAGGATATTACGGAGGACTAATATGTAAAGAGTGCATCAGGGAGTTAAAAATCGTGTTGCAATTTCACAAATGAGATGCTATTTTAAATTTTTATGTTTTTTTCTGATATTTTTTTGAAAAATTCTGAAAATGACATTTATTTTAAAATTGACTACAAATTTGAGTTTTTTTAAATATTTGATATTAAAAATTTTTATGACGCTCATTTTTTCATTGAAATTGGCAGATTCATCCTTTGCTCAGAATTGATATATCTCTGCTGAATCATTCCCATTAAACAAGATAAAAAGTATTTGTTGTTTTTAATTATGTATTTGATGGAAAATATATCACTAGTTGAATGGCTTTGTTTTTTATTGATTGCCGCGTCAGGCGTCAGCCTTCCTTCACTTATTAAGTGTAAACAATAAACAAACATATTTTCTATTTTTTTATTTAAGCATATGTCACAAACTAATTTAAATAATTGAGTGGATGTAATTTAATATTCTTAGCGACACCTGAACAAAGAATATCGGAAACAAATGTACAACATAATTTCATTTTATTGTAAATCTAATTGACTTAAATGACACGCAGTCAGTATTACATTTCATTCTGGTCTGGTAGATTAGGTCCTGCCTGATTGACATTAAAAATTTATAAATTTGCGTCTGCTGTCCATTAAAATTAGACATGCAGTATGATAAACTGATTTCTAATTAATATAGGTAATGTTCAGTCATTTTTTGACATTGAGAAAGGTAGCCATTTATATTCTTTCGATTTAAAAAAAACTTAAAATTTTCACCTTTATCAATCTAGAGACCGTATATCAAATTTTTGTTACTTTAGAATTTGTTATTCAGAAGAGTTGAGTGAATTAAATAGGAACATTTTTAAGTCATTGAAGTTATCATTTGTTGAATCCCTCATCACGATACAATTCATTATAAAGCATGTTTGAACTTACAAAATATTGGGTTCCAATTCCACACCCACAATTTCGCCCAGGGTGTAAAAAATTGTGTTGCCAATGCCGAACTGGAGATTTTGATTCATTCGAAAATAATACTGGAGCTCCCAACACATCAGAAATGAATGGTATCTTGTACCAGGTCTCAATTAGAATAAGAGGTATGAACAAAATTGCTGGTCCCCATCTTTCCTCTTTCCATTTCTCTTATTTTGTATGATCTAAAGCACAGTTTCCCAAACTTTTTGGGCCACGGCCCCCTGTTTGTGAATTTTATTTTCGACGTACCCACATCCTATGTCGTATCAATTTCTGTGCCTAACCAACGAGTCAGGATAATGTTTCATTTACAACACAAACAACATTCTATGATGGATGAGGTTGCACAATTTATCAAACCTTGGAGCATTTTTGTGACAATAAAAAATAGGTTCGACTTTACGGCAAGTCTCGACCTGTATTCTGTCATCATATTGGTTAGAGCTAAAAATGCTGACTCACACATATATTTACAATTTCAATTGCCTTTTTCTCACAGCAATGAATATTTGTCCGCAACGCTCAACCAAAATGATGCAACCGCTTTTCGATTGAAATCAATCATTACAGATTGATCCGACTCTTTCCACATCGTTGTGTACCCCCCAGGGGTTTGCAGACCCAGTTTGGAAACCCTTAGCTAAGGATGCTAATGTAATATATTGTTTTCACAGTTGATTGACCATCTAATGGCTGGAATTGAAGATTGCATCGGTCATAGAGGTCACCATTACTGGACACAAAGGTAATTTTTTTTTTATCTTGATTGTTTCGTATTTAGACTTTCTCTCAAATAAACAACTTTAACATAGAATCCATGATTCAAATTGCTACATTGGGAAATATATAAAATTGAACGTAACGTAGTGTGATGCAATTCTGTTGAACTGAACTGAACTGAACTAAGTTAGCTATTCTAATTATGGTGTGTTTGCCTATTCATTACATGCAAATTTACTAGTGCAATGCATGGGAAGTGGAAAATAATTGTATAGGCATTATTCATATCAACTTGGCAGTTATGTGTTTTCACTTCCTGTAATTTTTCCGTCTTTTTTCTAGTTTGTAGTTTTAGTAAGTTTTTATTTTAGTTTGATATTTTAATTTTTTGCGTTTGACGATATATAAAGCATTTATAGAGTCCTGTCTCAATTTCTATTTTATTATAAATTCAGTTCTTAATAACATATCTCAACCGAGTTCATGTTATTTTAATGAGTGTTTATTGGAATTTTCAACGTCTTTTAATAATTACACTTATAGGGGCCATCAAACTATATATTATATCGATAAATTCTCTTTGCAAGTTATTATTAAAACACTATAAGACCTAATGAATTTGATTTTATTTCGCTTCAATTTTTTTCTGTGAGAATATTTAATGTATACAGAAAGATCAGTGACATAAGCGGATAAGTATAAAATCATTAACTGTGAAGTTAGGTCTTGAAACGGGGCTCCCGAAGTATGCGAACCATGATGGCGGACATCGGAATGTAATATGTGTACTAGGTAAGGGTTAGGCCATAATTTTATATACAAATACTACGGGAGGCTCTTGGCTAGTCTTCGAACTGATAATAGGACTAAAATAAGGAAAACTGGAAAAAAATTATTGCCTAACCCTAACCTGTTACCCATGTTACGTTCCTATGTCTGCCATCTTGGTTCGCATACTTTGGCAGCACCCTTGAAACTTTCCGCTTCACAGCATGTGACGAATTCTTGTTTCTAAATGAAAAGTCCTACAATCATGTGTAGGATATAATTTTTGACTAATAATAAGACAGATATGACAGGTCATTTATTCATTTACATTAGCAAAGGATAACATATATATTAGTGTCATGCTTCTTTGGACATTTAACACACTTGTATGCAATTTTTAATGGATTGGTTCTAAACGGAACTTGAGGACTATTGTTCATGAAGAAGTTAATAATTCAAGAAACTGTGTATCCAAATTATACTATTTTAGGTTCTACCATAGTATGTGTATCCTGGCCATAATTTTATTCCAATTTTTCCCTTTTTCAGTTCTATTACAAGTTTTGGGGATTGTCTGTGTTAGCTAAGTGAATATACCCCCTGCCTGTAGATTCCAGTTCAGGGGCTGTCTGTGTTAGCAAGTGAACATACCAATAGGTTTCAGTCCCTTTATACAATTTGATGTAAAATAGGCGAACACAAATTTCTTACCTCCATATTGGTACACATACTTCTGGAAATTTGGGACTATAATATTTTGTAGAAGTTAAGAACAGAATAGCCATAAGTTCTACTATGATGGGCTTGGACATCAGAAATAAAATGTCTGAAACTTACATCTCTAAGAATTTGTTCAGTGCAACTTGGACCTAAGTCACCTTGTTTTACCTTGCATACCATACAAAAAATTTCAGAAGTTGTTGAAAACCGAATGGGCCAAAGTCCTTTTTGGGGGGTAAAAAACAGAAAGGAAGTGCCAAAATATATTGATTACAAAGATATTCTCATCCATATTGAAATAACCAGAGCTTAGGCCTTTACTAAGTGTGAATATCTAGAAATTAAAGGATAACGGAATTCAAATTTGTTTTCTTGTATTTTTTTCAACCTCAAAATTGTGACTTAGGTTATTCTGTACTCATCTGGCGATATTATTCCTCGATATTATTCGATTCCGGCTGACACTGGTTTGCTTTTATCAAATCAACGACTCTGTTACTGTTTTAGTTGAAAACCATCATTCCCTTTAAATAAATTATTCAGCGACGAATAACCACATAGTGAAAATTTGATGTCACTTTCTCTGCTTTTAATTCGTCTAAGGTCGATTTGTGTCAAATTTAATGCATTTAGTATGCTCTCAAGAGAAAAGCTGTCTGTTATCTCGGAGTCATTTATGTTTTATTAACTTAATTGAATACCATATTATTATTATAGTATCGTATTATAATAATTTTTTGTAGAAATTTTTAACAAGGGTGTTATGGGCTACCTTTTAACAGAATTAAAATGAAATTAGGTCCCCTTTTTGCCTGTTATCTCATTTTCAAAGAATCTGAAGTTCTTGTTGCATTTTCGATAATCCCGTAGTATGTGTACCAGGTTAGGCCATAATTTTATTCCGATTTTCCTTATTTTAGTTCTATTACGAGTTCTGGGATTGTCTGTGTTAGCCAAGGGAATTGACCCCCTGCACATAGGTTTTGGTCCCTTTACACAACTTGATGTTAAGTAGGCGAACAAAATTAGTTACCTCCATGTTGGTACACATACTTCTGGAGCGCCACATTTTCTGATGTTTCACTGCGTTGCTCTGCATAAACAGTCGGCTGGTTGGGAAAAACAATATTACAAGTTATCTTCAACAAAAAATGCATTGTTTGGTGATTGAATATCATTCATTTATATCAATACTCTTTTTCTTGTGTGTTGTCACCTACAGGTGTACTACAATTAAAACATTGAAATAACAATGTTGAGAATGAGAACTGTTTTCATAATAAAATTGTAATGGGAGAAAACGCTCTGTACATTTGTATCATGAGGCTTTATTTTTTTTAACAGGCTCACCAGGCTCAATACAGATTACTTGATGAAATGGTTTGTTCGAGAACCTTACAAAACACATGACCAAGTTATTTTGGAAACATTTCATCGGATTAATAAGAGAGAAGCTCATGATATGTTACTGGAAATTGAAAGAGGTATGTGCCATGGAAATATGCTATGTGGTCTTAATAATAATGTTTCTGAATGAAGTTTCATCATCGTTACAGTGATACCTCGGTAGTCGAACATAATTCGTTCAGGATTGGTGTTCGACTACCAATTTGCTCGAGTACTGAAACCTTTTTGACATAAGAAATAATGATAATTTTTTTGATTTGTTCTTACGCATTCCAAAATTAACAAATAATGAACCGAACAACAATGAGCATTTGAATGTGTACATAATTAAGATGTGTGAAGACGTCATAAAAAATTGTGCGCTTTGTGGTGGTTCCGCTTTCCCGTTAGTCTTGAAAATGGCCGTACCGGTAGTGTGACAGATTGCATACATGTACTACTTCATTTTTGCTTTCGTATCCATATATTTGAGCATCTCTCTCTTCTTTTTGAATAGTCAAGAGGCAGCGGAGATACGCGGTTCGGGTGACGTCATCTAACTCGGGCTCACTCTGGGTCATGAAAAAGTTCCACTCTGACTCTAGCACATAACTTTAGAAATTAAAATTTTGATAAACAAAAACATTGGCGTATGCAAGCCCCCCCAATAGACTGTTAAGAATGCTTGCTTGATGCTTTTTGAGTTTCTGAGAAAAGATTCGATATCATAAACAGCAAACAATTTTGACTCAGACTCCAGCCAGTTTGAAAATTTGACTCCAGCCTCTACTCCAGTGTAAACATATCAACCTTTAACTCCCTACACCACATCTCTGGTTCTATGATTATGTTTGAGTTTCAAAAGGCTCTTTGAAACATATTAATAAATTTTATTCTTTGTTTTCTTATATTTGTAGTATTGTGACATCATCACTTAATTTTTCAGGTGGAAGTAGCAATGAATTAGTTTCTGAAAAGACTCTAGCAAATTTATTGTTGCCAATGGAGATGAGAAGATCATATTCAACAACTTCTTTCTCTTCTATAATGTAAGATGAACTAAACCTATTTTTTGTTCAAAAACTATTGAAGAGTTTAAATTAGCAAAACCTTTTTTGATTGTTGCCTAGCGAGAATAAGGATTGTAGGTTACAAATTCCCATGGAAATTGAATGGGAATGTAATGTTCCTAACAAATAATGTCCATAACAACAACAAGAACAATAGCAAAATTTCATGACTCAGAGGAAATTTGAAAAAAATCTTTAAGTAGTAGAAATTTGGAATCGATTGGTTCATTAAATACGGAGTAATTCCCTCTCATAAAAAATTATTGTAACACCAACAACAAGAACAATAGCTACAATTGCATGACACTGTGGAAATTTGGAAAAAATCTTTTGAGTAGTAGAAATTTGAAATTGATTGGTTCATTAATTATGGAGCTACCGTAAAAATGATTTTAGCAAGAACAATAGCAACAATCAACAAAACAGGTTTAATATGTCCACTTGTGTTCAATAGAAATATGAATAACATCGTTTGGCCTTTTTGTGGTTTGAAAAAATATGAATAACATTTGTTTGTCCCTTTTTGATTCAAAAACATTTATTAATGGTTCAGTCAGAGTTTATTGTTTATTATTCAAATAAACGAATCGAAATCTTTTTGACAGGAGAAATCAATCAGACGCATGTATTGATATGAGAGCACTAGAAATGCAACGACAATCTGCTGTTATAATAAGCGATGCTGCTGAAGTTAGTGATGCCCATCATTTGCTCAAGAAGAATATGTATCGTCCAAGAGCAAAAGTATGTTTTTAATAGGAATAATAAAATCTCTTTCCATGGAATAGCAAATTCCAGAGTATTTTGAGCTTTCGTTAGATCATAGTCCAACGAGATATAACTGTGGGGACAAAAATCATTAAATTCATTATCTAGTTCGAGCATCAAGCAATATCCTAGAACCCTATTTAGTAGACTCAGTAGGCACCGGTGTTAACATGATATATTCATGGTCAACATTGTTAGAAAAACGTGCGCGATTGCCAGGTGGTTAAAGCATTAGACGGGGTGTGTGCAACAGGCGGCCCGTGAGCCACATCCCGGCCTGCCAAGCCATTTAGTGTGGCCCGTTATCAACGCTCAGATATTTCCCAATCAGGCCTAAAAATCTTAATCTGGCAGTTTTTTCAAAAAAGTGCTCACATGGGTATAAGGAATAAATAAATATAATGTTTTTTGCTCTTGTCGCTGCGTTAAATCGGTGGTCGTTTTACCCAGTGCCTTTATTACTGTAGGAATAAGCGATAGCCCCAATTCCTCATTTTTGTGTGGCTCAGCTTGATGTCCAAAGTTGGTCATATGGCCTACCGACAAAATAAAAGGTTGCACTGTTGCACACCCTTGCGTTAGACTCAACTGTATTGGCTTTGCAGGTTACACATCTGGTATTGAAGTCTCAGTTTATTTATTCCTCATGTAAACCGTTGTTTTTTATATTAACAAATTATCGTATTTTTTACAGACTGATTTCCATTACAAACGTGGAGAAATTGACACATCTCACACTCAGAAACGACAAGAACAAGAAATTTTAATTAGAAGAAGGATTCATAACAGAAGAAAGAAAACACAAAAACACAGGAAGCACAATAAACATTTCAAGGTAGGTATTGTTCGACATGCATAAGACAGAAATATTGTTTTTGATTTAATAAATCTGTGAAGAGTGCTTTTCAGAATACATTTATTACAATAATATACCTATTGATTATATTAAAATGCAAAATTACATATGAATGTGCGGTTCTCAAACTTCCATGATACATGTCCTCTTTTCAAAGACTCCCAACACTCTGTAGGCCCATGGTTTCCAATAGAAAAAAAATATCGTGATACCTCGATAGTCGAAAGACTTCATACTTGAACAATTTGGTAGTTGACCAAAAAATGCTGCGGTACTCGAACGTAAATTTGGTTCTTGAAAACCCAAGCGTGCCGTCGAGTGAGATGATGCCGCACTCAAAAACCGAACCCCATAAAACCCTCAAAAATTTGCTCAAATGTACAGTAACTGATACAATTTTAGTTTGCTGTAAATCAAATATATATATTGTTTTATTGAATCAAATCTAAGAAAGTAAGTCTCCTTTTTCCACTCGTATTAAGAATGACTCTATTAGAAATTTGACATCATTCTTATGTTATTTATATGAATAAATGTAGATTTATATAAATATAAACCAGTTTTTTTTTTTTAAAAGTTCAATTTTTTTTATAAATTGCAATAATATTTACCAATACCATAATATAGTTTGTTGGCCCCTACGGAATAATATGGCCCCTATTGAATAAAGTGAAAAAAAAACTTGATCATATTAAAACAAACCTGGTTAAGATATATTGAGAACTGACTTCATAACAAAATTGAAATCGTAAGGGGACTTTATGAACACTTTGTATAATAAATATATTAAAATTACTCGATAATTTCAGCAAATTAGCCAAATATTCAATTTTGGAGACAATGGACTTTGATTTCAATTTTATATTATCCATCTCAGAACCATACATAAGCCGATTGTAAGTTTGGCAATAAATTACCTGTAATTTCAGAACGTTTTACAACAACCATCAAGATCAAGGAATGGTTCGTTTCAAATGAAACCGAAGACGCACCACCATCACACAGGTATCTTTTAAAGATATTTTGGTACTCTCATCCCGTAGTATGTGTACCAGGTTAGGGTTAGGCCTCAATTTTAATTCGATTTTCCTTATTTTAGTTCTATTACGAGTTCGGCGACTGTCTGTGTTAGCCCAGCGAACACACACCCCTGCCCATAGGTTTCAGTCCCTTTACACAACTTGATGTTATGTAGGCAAACAAAATTAGTTACCTCCATATTGTTACACTACTTCTGGAGCACGGATATTTTGATGTTTAGTACCGGTAATTATTGTCAAAACTGTTATAGCTGAATAAATACCAAAATATTAGCGATAAAAATTTTCTCAAAAAATGTGATATATGAAAATAATATAATGGATTCTTTTTTACAAAAAACTTTTCCAAAATTTATAATAATTTGAATTATCTTAAATCAATACACTTATTTAAAACTGATAGAAATATTGAATGCACAGTAGTGTGAAGGAATTCTATATATTCCCTTTCGAGGAACTTTGCTTGCCGCAAGGTAACGCCACTCACTCCGAAATTGAGGAGATTGATCTCTTAGCAGAGTTGTGGGCAACCATTGAAATGCCAAGAGCCACTGATTAGAGTTATTGAGTAGAATTATTTAAATTAATAAGGACATAAATATGAGCAACATTTCATTCTTTTTCAATTTTTAGACCATTTTTTCACTTTCTCACTGTTTTTACTTTTTCTATAGTCTTCACTATATTATTATTATTATGTCAGACTAGGTTCGAGTTTATAAAAAACGTCTTTGCTTTCCAGCGTTAGCCACCATTTATAACAGAAGACAGAGTGGTAATTATGCTTTTGTGGCATACCCTTTATTCTTCGCTTTTCAATTAACATAATAATTAATGTATTTAATTATGCGAAAACAATGTATTAAATACAACTCAAATTTAATATTTCTTGAGGAGTTGATTATCACCGATTAAGCATGGGTCTTATACAGTGTTCACTATTAGCGCACTTTTTTGCGAAAATTGCGAAGCACTTTCGCAACTTTTTTTAGGGACTGCGAAATAGCACTTTTTTCCGATTTTGAAGAGAAATAGCACTTTTTTCCGATTTTGAATGGAATAAAAATTTAAAGTTAACAAATATTTTCGAGTATTAAGTTGACAAATAAGTAACATACTAGTACTTTTGTAACTCAATTCTGCATATCATAACGATATTTACCGGAATTCTAACCTATGAGATGCAGACATAGGAGATAAAGCTTTTGCATTAACCGCAAAATTCTTGTTTATATTATGATTATTATACAAGCACACCGATTCCGCTTCTCCCGCAAAACGCTCCGCGTCTTTGAAACCAGATGTTGGAATACTACGCAGTGCCTTTCTTTGAACGAAAGTGGTCATGTGACTATCAATGATATGGTTGAATTCAAAATGACTATAAAAGTGTTAGTAAAGTGTTATAGTCACTTTGGATGTATTGTGACCAAAGTGCACGATTTTCAAATCAGACGAAACTTTTAGCAGCATGTCACAGATTTGCAAAATCATCAAATTCACAAAATACCATTAAGTGCCATTTTATTGTAATCACAATGTTGAAAGCACGTGGCATTTTGCGATATTTACACAACTATTTCTCATTGATATGCGAGTAGGGGTGGGCAAAATTCAATATTTTATTGAATTGAATATTTTTAAGGAGTTTAACAAATATTTTTGGAACGTTGGTGGAAACATCAAAAAATCGGCAACAAAGCCTTTTTACTGGTTAATTCCGTTGTATACGCTAATTGTTCTTGTCACCGATCGTTTTGGCGGCGATATCCAGGTTTTGTTAATCTATATTCCCGCCCTCTCTTTTTTACAAATATGAATTCTTGCGGGTCGGCGGCCATCGAAATTTTATATTTCGGGTTTACCCGTTTGTTCACATCGGCAACAGCTGTTGAAGACATTGAGGACTCAAATCATTTGCGTTGGCTTTAATATTACCTATCAAGATTTGTAAATTTACGGTCCCAATTTTATGCGAATGGTAATATTATTGTCGACACCGTGATGCTGATATTTATTAAGACTATAACTAACTTTCTCATGTTTTTCTATGGTGATAAACTTCGCAAATCTGAAATTGTGCCAATCCTGAATGTTGATTTAAAATAGTGATTGAATATTTCGGCAATAAAGGCATTTCTGCGTGGTCATAAGACGAGATGACGTTAATGAACAGCACTTCTTTTACAGGATATTTTACGTATGCGACTTAATGCTAAAAAGATTGGACTCGAGTGCTTTTTTTTCGAGTGCTCGAGTGCCTAATAGAGGTCAGGCGCTAATTGTAACTAATTCCCCCAAGTTTCAACATGTTTTCAACAAAACAATACCCCGGCGATAATTATAGCTAAAATGTTACCGAGCAATTCACAATTTTATTTATGGAATTTGAAAATTCACCAGTTTCTTGACGATATTGATAATGTCACGCCCTAATTATTAGTGCAAAAAATACTCCCCTTCTTCCGCGGCGGTTTGACGGGTTCTTTGTTCCAATCTTCAGAAATTTCTGACACGGGGATATTGAATACTGAATCCGGAGGGTTGAATCCCTGTCAACTTACTGGTGATTTTCCGTTTTGGAATGCGTGGAACATTCTCTATTTTAAATTAGATGACGTTTCGCGGGCTAGAGTTCTCCCCGAAAATGATGTGTACCAGACGTTAGTTAGACGATAGATAAAACATTAGATTAATATATTTCATGACGCCCCGTTTTCGAAAATACAAAATTATATCGCAAAAAAATTCGTTTTGATACATTTGGAATGAAACATTATTTACGGTTAATTCAGATCATATTTTACTCTTCATGACACCCGGTATCCGAAAATACAGTTGTATTGCGAAAAATGTGTTTTGTTACATTTAAAATAAAACATTTTTGCGATTAATTTAGATCATATTTTACTTTTCAGGACACCCGTTTTCGAAAATACAAGGTTATATCGCAAAATGTGTTTTGCTACATTTAAAATAAAACATTTTTGCGATTAATTTAGATCAAATTTTACCTTTCACGGCAATCCGTTTCCGAAAATACAAAGTTATATCACAAAAAAATGCGTTTTGTTACATTTATTTAGCATTCCCAACAAAATACATATTTTCCCTAATTAAAGTCGTCGATGAATCTGTTCCTGTCGGTCAAGCTTGACACACGTTTGGACGAGTGTGGGGCGGTTTTTTGGTCGACGATAAATTAAAAAGTTGCCACACGTCATTTGTATAACGATAATAACTGAAAAATTAGATTTTATAATAAAAGTGAATTTGTCCCAAGATGGTATTTTACGATTCTTGCCCACAGAAAATAAACACGCTGACAGGCTTGGTTATAATTGATATTCGTTTAATTTATTTTACACTATTAATAAACGCGCCACACCAAGTGCGGCCATATAAATTGCAGTCGCATCGGTATGGACTGTATGTTTTTGGCGCTCTCACATTAATTATAATTTTCAACAAAACAATACCCCGACGGTCATTGAAGCTGAATTCGTTACCGAGTAATTCACAATTTTATTTACGGAATTTGCAATTTCAAGATCTCACTTGACGATTTTGATGATGTCATGCCCTAATTATTACTGCTTAAATGCCTCAAAATACAACAAATGTAATCATTTTCGACGATAACAGGCGCAACAATTCGTAAACGAGCCGTTATAACGAAATTCGCGATTGATTTTACCTCTCTCTTGTTTACAATTTTAACATCCCGCCGGCCATGTATGGTCGAATAAAATGTTCATATATTCGAAACATGACTTGGCCAAGGATGGGAGGAATCACTAAAGAGCTAATAGAAAGTACATACGCGAGGGTATGATATTAATATCGAGAATATTTGTGAGCATATCACAGGACGGAAATATTTTGCACCCCGCTGTTTGTTGGCAGAACAGCGATACGCTAAAGTTAATTGATCGAATACAGGGAAGTATTTATTTATCATCTCACTTGCGAACATCGAGGTTTGGGCGGAATTGTACGATCATGTTGTCTTTCTTAAATAATAACTTTTTCAATGAATGTTCATTTTACTTTTGCGTCTTTCTTATGTGTCGGGTTTTCATTAATTTTAAATTCGAAATTGTCCGAAATACTCCAACAGGTGTATAAGTACAATAATAATAGTACTTACCAGGGAAGTTTAATACACACGATGTGTTGTGTTAAGGGCGTCGTAACTCCCGTTTTTTAATTTGATTGTTTTACATTCTGCTTAAAAAACAACGTCGTTTTGCAGTCATCTAAGTAACTCTCGCGACCAAATCTTTTTTGTTTTGTATGGCATCGTCTTGGCGACGAATTTATTGCCGACTGAATTTTAATTGTGTTTTAGGATAAGTTATTTTCTGTTTGTTGGTTTCTAAACTTTACAAACGTGGGTAGCAATTACTATTAATGTGAGATTTGTGCATATGAACGATTGAATATATCGACTGGATGTCCGATATCTGAGAATGCGTATATCAGCGTTCATGTGGTCGAATAAAAATTATTTATCAAATGGATTGGTATTTCGAGACACTCTCAAAATTATTTGGGATCCACTATCATATCATTCGTTTATTTTTTATATTCATGTTTTTTTCAAGAATCACCCTCGTTATATTTCGTGTACCTTTGCAAAAGAAAACTCTTTGGTGTCATCGTTCCTATTAGTGTAATTGAAATATATGGAAACCTCGCAAGTGGCGTTGTGATGCGAATATTTGATACTAGGTCAGCAGCATTACAAAGAGTGCCATTTATGAATGCTGAAAGTACATGGCATTACTAAACATTTTGCCAATATATGATGTTTTCTGCCGGATTTAAACTAACTCGCACGCAAACCAAGGCATGTCGACATTTAAAAATTACTTGTCTTTGGGTAAGCTCTAAAATAGTATAATATAAATGTAAATGAGAAATTAGGTCACGCCAGCTCACGAAAGGGGAGGATTTTCAAAGTAATATTTCGGAGAAAAAAGTTTAAAAGGAAAGTAGGTCAACCTGTCTCCTAAAACAGGGGAGTATCCTGTGTAATATTTGGGAGGGAACGTAGGTTAACCTATCTTTTAAAACAGCGGGTGGCGACTTTCAAAGTGGTTAAAAATCACAAATTAATAATTATCAGATTAGGTTTAGGGATAAATCGAAAAGTTGAATTTCCAGCGCACCTAACCCTAATTAGTTGATTGCTATTTATATTTTGGGGGGGGGATTATTTTGCACGGGATTTGTACAAATGATCCACCCTGTAACTAATATGGTTTCCAGCCTACGTGTATCAATCGTTGTCTGTTAGATGGAAGGAGTAACAAATGTGAAAGCCTTTGCTGTTCACCGAGTAAGCAACTGACACCGTGATACATTGCATGAAAGTTTTGTTCGCGGCAAGTGTTAGCAGATGTCTTTTCGTTGCCGATGAATTCGCTTGTTTTAATTAAACATGAATTCGCTTAAAGGGAACTCGGTTAATGGAAAGGCTTCTCTTTAATTCATAACATTAACCGGAGGAGCGCTTTTTCGAGTATCTATGCCGTTTTAAATGGGTTATATGAAAGGCTAGAGCACCTAACTTGTTAAAATCGGCAAAAGCACTTTCGCACTTTTTTTTTCGACTGCGAAGCACTTTCGCACTCATAATTCGCTTAGAGTTAACACTGGTCTTATATTCTTATTAGTTGTCCATGCTTAATTGGGTATAATCTAATGATAACATTCGGGTGTGGTGTGGTAGGTATTTTCTATTTATTTGCGGTAACTAATATCTTAATGGAATTTGATTTTTCTAAACTGCAGTACACTTTTCAAATGGTCATGGTGAGCGTCAAATGCATTTTCAATGTTAAGTTATGTCCCTTTGTTGTGTCACAATGGTTCTCCATTTTGTATTGTTTGTCATTTTGTATCAAATCGAAATACGATGGGCATTGATTGGCCCATACAATTTTTTCGTTGTTCCAGAAACTCAATCGAAATATTTCATTTGTTTTTTATTTTTGTGTGATTTATTACAAACTACAAATAAAAAAATACCATTTTGGCAAAATTCATATTTGGCTCGATGAAAATACTGAAAACTTTTTCTTTGAGAATATCCGTTTTATTTAGGGTATTTGAAATTCCCCTTGAATTTTTTTTTTAGTTAATTTTAAACGAGCTTTATAATAAGATGGATTACTTTTTTTAAGGGGATTTATGTTCTAATAAAGTTCATTGTAATTATTTAGAACGGTTTCTTTGAATTGTAACAATTTATTAAATTTATTAAAGTTATTTGAATAAGATTAATTGGATTTTCTAGAGCCTTTGCGATTTATCAAATTTGTTAAATGTATTTTATTCATGAATAGATTTCACTATTTCTTTGTCTGGCGACTGTGATGTGCTATTTCTGTCGTTTTGATTTTCAGCAATTCCAAGAGGTTTTGGCTGTATATTGTCAAATTCAGCTTTACCTCTAAATCGTGTCAAAACCCACTGAGATTCGAACCCTTGACATCTTGGTTACCAGATGAGATCCATGATCTTACACACTGTGGTATTGTTGCAAACGGAGTACAAAACATATTCACATATGTTGGTTCTGTGTTGATATTGTGTTTAACATTGTCTTTTCGTAAGAAAACATGTCCTAAAATCTTTATGGTTTACACAGTCATAATTTTCGTCATATATATCTACTCGATACACTCGAATTAATATAATATATTGTGTCACTTATCATCCTCAGAACCGGTTCAACTTATCGAGCAGACGATTAACCCTCTTACGGGTGTTGTTGGTAAGAATATAAGTAATCATACAGCACGAGCACGGCACTGTGTCGCACGGTTAATTTTTGTTCAATAATTACTGATCTGTTGTGTAAAAATGTTCACAAAATTCAATGGTCTGTATTTTTCGAAGCTGATTTGAATCTAAATTACTAATTTCTTGAGATGCAAAAAAATTGATTTTAATTGCAGCTCTTCTAATTGGTGATGATTACTAGATTTACAAAATCTATTTTACAGCTTTGGGTAAATTTAGATTTCATATATCTTAATGGCACGACCTAGCATTCGGGGCTAGTTTTACTCGATGTGTTCTTTTCATGGTTCTAGAATGCTTACTTTATTCTTAATATTAAGGTAATTTTATTAGATTTCCCTCATTTTTGCCAAAAGTTAAGTTATGTGTAAGTGTTGTATCCTACCTAAGGAATTGAAGGATTAAATATTTCTGTATCTTGAATATGAATGATTGCATTCATTTTTTTTTTAAAACAGCATGTGAATAGAGATATTAGAAAACTTTATTTATTCAATTTCTTTTTTCGCTGAAATAACCTTAATAATCTTTTCGGTTTTCATTTTCAAGTTTCAAATTATACTATTGTTGGAAAGATACCTTATGCATTTTTCCTGTTCACTCAAACTCGCAAACTTTATGTTCTATGTAATTGCATGGTTAAACACTCTTCTCTTTTATCCTTCATTCTAAATAATTTTAGAATCCTGATAATATATATTTTGATGATCGAAAAAAATCAATGTTTCCATAGATACATGAATTACAGGTATTTATTTTGAACTCCGCCATTGAACAAAACAATGAGACAAACACACAGTATAGAAATTCAAGGATGTTGATAACATTTTAAATTAAGTTCAAATCATGAGTACTATAAGGGCATTCTCATCTTGGTGACATAGGGTATAAGTGAAAATAAAAACATTGATATTCTTCTAATTGAGCGCTAATTAGCATTGTTGATAAAATATAACGGTAAATTTATTTGAATAACACAATCAGAAACTCTCTAATCAGGTTTCAAGGTTGTGAACATTATGATAATGTAAATATAATGAAAGAAACATGTAAGGTCTTTCCAGGATGTAAGCTCATGATATAATGACATTGATACTTCTCTGTACTTGCTAAATAAAGTATAATTGTGTTTTAGAAGGACAATGAAATAATTTAATAGGGCCTGATCTTCATATATTCTTTCTTCAATATTTTCGGATTTAATCCTGTAACAAATGGAAGTAAAAAGAAATAATCGAAATGAAAACAAGCCAAATATGTCGTAGTCTTAGATTCTACAAAACAAAACTGCCAATTAAAATCTTTATAAACCTCGAAAAATACTATATTTTGTCTGTATTGTACAACCTATTGTCATGAAGTTAAATTGTATAATAAAGATCTTTTGATATTTGGATTTATGAAAGCCTGCATGTCAAATATTTCAATGCTTTATGGTGTCTGTCACTACTGACAGTGCGGGAAGATGTACCAAAGAAATTCATTTTCAATTCAAAACAATAAATTTAGTTGGATTGAAGTTACTCCCATATTTTCTCATTAGACAATCATTCCAGATTTGTATAATAATGGGTACTGCCATAGTGTGTACCAGGTTAAGGTATAATTTTATTCCGATTTTCCTTATTTTAGTTCTATTACGAGTTCGGGACTATCTGTGTTAGCAAAGTGAATATACACATACACAACTTCATGTAAAGTAGGGAACAAAATTAGTTATCTCCATATTGTTACACACACTTTTGGAGCGCCTGATTTTGTTTGTTCACCATTGTTTGGAAATTCAATAAGTTTTTTACTCAAATACAAAGAACTATAAATATTGGATTTCAAATCCAATTTTAAATATGCTTTAGGATTTTCTATTCAGTGACACTTTTCACCTTTTGCAAGTTTTGCTTTGTTTGTCACTTGTTTTATGTCATCTTGGGGAATGAAAACCTTTTTTGTCCTGAGATCTGAATGAAAAACTTGATAAGGGATATTTTATAAGGGTATTAACTGCAGTACCATAGTTCTATATAATTTTGTTGCCGTGGTGTCTGTTACATCCAAGTGTCCTTCACTTCTAATCGAGTGCTCATGACAAATTCTCCCTAACGAAATATCAATAGTGATGACAATTAATCACAAAAAACAAATGCCCATAGAATAAAGAAAAATATATCCGAGTAAATGAGATTTATGAGCATTTTAAAAACATACATTTTTCATGAATATGAACTCTGCTTTGTCACTTTCATGTCGAGATATGTGACATGAAATACCACATAGTCACTTATATCTCCTTATCTATCTTATTTGATTGATGAAATGACATAGACAATATGTCTTAGTTTGTGTGCTAAATTAGAAAATCTTTGCAATGCTATAGATTTTGATAATTTCATTCTAATACTTTGAGATGAATATATTTAGGCATGTTTTTTAAAAATTTGTTTTAAGATATTTTTAATTTCTTTTAACATAAAGTAGAAATTAATAAAAAGCATGAACCTCATTTTATTAGTTTTTTTGGTTTTGAATAAGCAGTGTTTTTACGACATAACACGTAAAAACGCCAACTAATATGGAATTTTTTTTCTGTGTTTTATTGAAAATTTGCATCTGTAAATCAATGATTCTCCAAAAAAAATTTTGAATCAATTTTTTGGATAATTTTTGTGGTAATTTGCAGTGTATTCAATTTGTTCATTGATAACGTAATGTACACTTATTATTTACCTCTCCTATAACTCTTATTCCTGATAATAATAGTTGTAATATTACTGTTCACTCCAGTCAACTCTATGTGAACATATACCTAGAAATATTTTTAGAATGTAAATTTATCTACCAACTTATTAGTGAGCTTATGTTTCATCACAGTTGTTTGTATTTCAAAGGAAATCAACATTTTTAAAACGCTTAGTTCATAAATGAAAATTTGCTGGGGAATTAGAGATCACCCTCTTTTATTAAAATTTGCGATACCACCCAGTAAAAATATTAAATGAAGTCGAAATTACATCACAAACAACTGAATTACAATGATATCTGAAGTTTTATAAGTATAAGTTCCATTATTTTTAACATCTATAGTAAAGTTCCATTCTGTGCAGCCATATAACTCAAATTGTTTTAATGCTGATTTTTTGATATTTTTTAAAAGCTCCATCTGTCTTGGTTGAAACATGTCCATCTCTTAATTCATCACACGGTGAAATGCCTATTAAAGAAGAACCAGAAGATGAAGGAATCACATTTTCAGTGGCCGCTATCGATGGTATGATAATTCAGTTTTTATTTGTTTATAAAGCAGACTGTCCCTCTCTATCAACTACGCTATACTTGAACTTTGAAATTTAAATCATCCTGAAAATAAGTAAATTCGTAGCTTTGCGGTTGAAAGTGTTTATTGAGAAAATCCATTTACGAGTATATTTACATTACATGAGAATCATGATTCTAACGACATTTGGCGCATCTTGCTAAGAACTAGTAACACACTTAGAATACTCACTCTGGTTCATCTAGGCCAGTATTAGCTTTCATATGAAACTATGAACACACTGGAACCAAGTCAGTACTGTAAGCTATCATCATATTTTTAGTCGTAACTCCTTCAAACAGAATAATTTTGATCCTAATTCAATTCAAATACGTTCTTACCTAATGACTTATCGTTACTTCTTCCATTTCCCATTTCATTGCTATCAACATATTGTATATCACGCTGATTCACACTCAAGAAAAATGAAAAGCAAAAAAAAATGAAATTTTTGCCAAGTTTTGAGAGCCCGAGGAGAATGGTCAATTAAAAAGCTTTTTTTATAAATTTTTTTTTTTCAGAGCCTGATTCAAAACTTCCTGATGATGAGGGAGCAAAAGAATCAAACAAGGAGAATCATGACGTAGCATTGAATAAAGAGCTTCCATGGCGAACTGAAATTCCATCAGTAGCAATTTGTGACCCAAGAGAAAGAGCAGGATCTCTTCATCCACATTATTATGGTGAAGATTCTGAAGATGAGGAGCCAGGTAAAATGTTTGATTAAAATTAATTTAGAATTACTGGTAATTGTTTGATTGAAGCGTAGCCTAAATGGAGTGATTTTAGATTTAAGTTTGGTGTGGATAGTAGCTATGAGTAACAAAGGAATGTTTAATAAAAAAATTTACACTATCAGAAACTCCGTTTTTGTATATTATATCTTTGTGCAAGTCGTATGGACATATATAAAAATTATATGAGAATGCCACCATAAAGGGTGTCCGAAAAATTTCACTTTATCCCAAAGTAATAACAATAAAAAAATCTGCCCGATTTTATAGAAAGTTTAATTATATTGTATAATAAATTAGAAATACAGGCGCAATAGGAACTATTAGGTAATAAACGAAGACAAAGAAATTTTTAATTTTCACCACTACAAAATTGTGCAAAATTTTTTGGACACCCTGTATATTGATATAATTTGAAGAAGCAGAGTGGTGATAATATTTTGTGCGAAGAAATAATAATAACTCCAGGGAATTCATGAATTGCTAGGAAAGTGAATGAACATGATGCATAAATTCAATTTATTATATAAATTATTCCAATTTAACAAAAAAAAGCACTGGTATTGCCATTTTTGAAAACTTCCTTTACCTGAGCAAATGTTTGGAGTGATGGTGTAATAATGCTAGTCTCAAAATCTGTAACATTTTACTAAGTAGAATTGTGTTGTGAGAGTGGTTTGATTGAGACATTATGTATGACAGCATAATGCCTTTTTGTACTAATAAAGTTTTTTTGATTTACTACACAACAGGAACCTCTCATAACACTAACAATAATAACGCAACAGCGGAGAGTGAACAAGAATCCTCCTCAAGTCCGTTTTTTCCTAAAAGGACTCATAGCGAGCCAGCAATAAAGAATACTACGAGTGTCACACTCGAATGCGACCCTGAAGAAGTTTCACCCTCCGTGCCCTTATTATTTAAACCAGAGGACATCGAAGTCGAAATTTTTAAAAATCTGGCAGAAGATGAAGTTTGATGCATTGATTTGTGTTGATTCAGCACTTTTTGAGGCATTTTGCGTAGCATGCTTTGCATATAGAATACTGTAGCTGCAACTGATATAATCTGGAGTTTCAAAAGTATTTATAATCTATGCTTTGCAACGTGCTTCACTGAAAAAATTTTTTGTTCTTTTTCAGTTGTGCATTTGCGTGTTTTTAAAAATTTCTAACAGTATTTTCTGTCAACGTATATTTCTGCGGAATGTTAAGTTTGGGTATTTTTTCTGTGATAAGCTTTTTGATATTTGAATAATGCTTCACGATTCATACCAGTATTGTCCTTTTTTAGGGGAGAAATTGTAATATATGCCAAATACTTTACAATTTGACATAAATCATGATATCACAGAAAAAGTAAATTTGAAACCAAGAAAGGGATAATTTGGACGTTATGTATTTTTTAATAAAAAAATTTTCGAGTTCCACTCTTCTTTCTTAAATCTCGTCTTAAATAACAACTGGATACAAAAAATTCTATCATGCACGAATAGCCCAATGTGCAACATGTATTTTTAATATCTTTGTCATAGCCCTATTTCGATTACGACCAATCTAAAATTTATTCTATAAAGTTCCTAATTGAATAATGTGACTATGTTGCAACAACTTATACCTATTCAAAGTATTTTAGAAGTTTTCTATATCACCTTTCTAACATAACTAAATACTGGAAAAGTTCTTGAAATGTAAATTTAAACTCAGGGAATATACCAGTTTAATGAAGAAAATTGTGCTTCATGTGAAACTTTTTTCAGCGTCAACTATTTACCTGTAATATGCATTACTGTAAATTTTTTATTTGTTGTAGAGCTGCTGTCAAAGGACACAAAAATGTATCGTTTTTTTTTCTTGAGTTATAAATATATGATTATATTTATTTATATATTAAATCACATTTTGCACACAAATTGTGAATACCCACAGGTGCAAGATATTTAGTTAAGATGATGCTGTTTACATGATAGAACGTCAACAATGTATAGTTTATATGAAAGTCGATGCACTTCATTTTCAACCGATATATACAGTATAGTCAAATCGGATTCAATTCAGAATTTGTTGTTATGGTAACGCTTTGTCTTCTGTAGAAACTACATATTCTTAATGTAGGATGTACATCTTGAATTAATTTTTCTATTACAATATGGGTCTGCCTTTCAGGGTTAGGTAATTCTAATATTTCAAAATATCAAAAATATGAAACAAAAGGAAACTATTCTATGTCGACTTCCAAGTGTGAGAAAAAACTTGTTGCAGTGTGTTTTTTCCCCAAAAAATAACAATCATATTATGTGTATTTCTGCTACCTAGATATTTTACAATGCTAAAGTAAGTAAAAATGCTGTTGAATCAAGCATTTTCATCTCAATTTATATTATCTGAAATATAATCAGTCAAACAATGAGACCAACTAAAATTTTGTATTACATATTGGCAGATTAAATAAGTCTTTATATATATTGTTTTGCTTGAGCTGTGCTATTGCTCTGCACTCTTCTGACCAAACTTTTGCTTCTGTATTTATTAAAGAAGTGGAGAATAACATTCTATCAAACAAAAATAATTTTCCAAATACAGTAACCTCAATGTCTTATATACAGTAATTCTGTAACTTATGTTTTTCATTCCAACTGCGAGTTTTTGTAAACAATATGTACACATATAGCCTAATTTCAACTTACAAATTTCGTTATGAACCAAAAAATAGAATTCGGGGCATTTGTATACTTTAATATTATGTAAAATGTGTGGCAGCGACCCACCACTTTGTCATTTTTACAATTTATAGCAAAATAATGGTAAATGAGTCACATTGAATTATTTGAAAATTACCTTAGCTCTAGGATAAAAAAGTAGTAAATAATAAGATGGGATTGATTTGAAAATCGAAATATTTCAATTCCTTAATCTATTTCTCAAGTGGGTCCCTCAAACAGCACTGCCTGTAATTTTTATTATATTTTGATGATTTATTCTTAGTTCATAGTACGGTAATTTAAATGTAATTTATAGATCTTATTTCTATCTGCTATGTTTCTAAATGCCAAACCTATATATAATGCTATTGCTTATATATTTCTTAGTGAAAGAGCATCTTTATATGAATATAAGTAAGAGCAAAATTATTATACCTATTTCTATCCTGGCCTTGGAGCTAATATAAGACTTGACAACAGTTCTAGCAAGTTTGGAGTGTCGGTTTTGTGACTCTTGCGTGATTTAAACAATTTGCAGTGAAAATAACAATATAGAATTGAATGCAAGATTGTATTTTGAGTTTATTTTTGGTGCAGCTTGGGAACTTTAACGGAAGACTAAATATTTAACTCAATCTGCGGCCTTGGAGTTAACAAAATTTGTAACAGTCTCAGACACTGAGAGAATTAATTCCATATATGCAAGGTTCTTTTATAAACTTTATTGAGAGCTTAGGAAACTCATTGTTTTTAGACTTCTTTTACCGCCTCAGAATTCTGAAATCATAACTTGAATTAGAATTACTATTGAGGTTCAAATAAACAAATTCTGTGGTTTTAACCTTCATGATTGAACATCTCATTCAAGTTAGATCAAGATTAACTTCCAGTTTTAAATTAAGCAGCAAATGATGCCACCATCATCCCTGAAGAAATACTGCAGAAGCTTCGTGAGACCGCAGACGCAGTCATACAAAATGACTTTGCCCAGGACGAAGATGACAAAGAGTCAATGTGAAAGATTTGAATACTTATTAACCATCCTGAACGCCATTTTTCATAACTTTCTAGCATAGTCTGGTTTTATTCAGGACATATCTTTATTCATCTATCCTTATCTTTTGAAACTAGCTATTCCAGGCATAAAATGTATTGTTAAAGCAGGTCATTCCCAACAAAAACCAAGCAAAATATTGGTTTTGAATGTATAAAGCGATATGTGTGGCATTCTCTTTCCATCAGGAGTATAAAGTGTAATATATATATAAATAATATAAAATGTAATAGTGCTTCTGGTCTGGGTATGAAGTCTTTTGAGCTTGCATATACATGAACACTTTCAGCTTTCTGTAAGCAGGAGTTTAAATTTCACTCAAGGTTTGTGAATCTTTGTATAGCAACTGCAGAAAGCTGTCATTTTGTTTGAATATTTCATAGAAAATCATTGTAAATAATTGTCAAAGCTTTTGAGTCATATAACTTGTGTGTATATCAGCGCGACAATCTTAAAAGCCATTTTTCTTTGCAAATGTTAATCAATATATCATCTCTACAAGACTGCCTCAACTTATTCAATATCAATGTTCTGACATCCATCTATTTGTTATATACCAGAATGTAATGCAATAATAAGTATTCCAAGGCTTATAAATATCTGATTCTGAATATAACAAATCCTGAGTTTGCTTATTTTTTTGTGCCATTAATCACTATTGTAAATGATCAACAAGAAACCCGAAAATATATATTTGTATATAAGCAGAAAGAAAATGTATATTGTTAAACAATACAGGCAGTAGGAAATAGTAGAACTCGAGAAGTACAACATGCATCCGCAAATAGGTATACTGCATTGTATTTCATGTGTTAGGACTTAGGGAGTTCCAAGACAGATGAGATTGCTTAAGGTCGGCAAGAAGCAGTATGCGACCTTGAATCAATGCCACTCTAGGTCAGTAGGTCAATGATTTATAACAAAGTATTGATGTAAAGTAGTTCATTTGGAATACTGGTTGCTAACTAGAATACCCAATATTCAGGTATAGGCAGATATCTCAAACACAATTGAATTGCTAGCATGCATGTTTTAGGATACAATTCCGTACAATCAACACTCATTCTAAAACCTCTTCCACTTCTTTCATTTCCTTCAAGTTCAAAACTTCTGTGCTTCCTTTTCCCCTTGTTTCCTTACTTATCAATTCTTCAATTTGTCTATAACTACCAGGATCAATTAAACAAACGATTTCAAGTCCATCCGTGAACTCCTCGTTTTCAATAGATTTGAAAAGCGGTCTCAATTTCTCTTTGATTGATTTTGAGGTCTTACCCGGTATGTACAATTTCATTCTCATTTGTGCACGTTCGATAGAGATTTTTTCTCGTAATAATTTAATGACTTGTAAAGCTTGTTGCTTGGCGTTTCTATTCATGTTGATAGAATAATGTATGTCTTCTTTCATTGCACGCTCAATAACAGTAACTGTGTATGGACGCTTCGTTTCGGGGTTAACGCACATTTCAGAAACCATTGTTGCAATATCTCGATATTTTGATTCAAGATGGTCACTGCGTTCTTTTTCTGAAACTTGTAATTCCCCCTTTGCCAAAATTTCAACACATATTTTTGTGACATCATCTGTACCAAATGATTTTTTCAAATCCTCTTTCTTAGCAACTTGTCCTTTAGATACATTTGTGAATATTGCATCAGTTTGGAGCACTTCATCGATATCTTTCTCAGATTTGTTGCGCCAGGACATTACTTTGTTCTTGTAGCAGGCAATTTCAAACCTCTTTCCACCTTTTTTCATACGCACTACTGCTACATTTGTCAACCGCACTTGGTTGACGGGAGTGAATATTAATGACATTCTCACTTTTATCCAACTACTGAACTAGGTAGGGTACTATATTTTCAGTTATTCTAAACACCTAGACTAATGAAAAAAAGATCAAAAATGAACACTTGATGAATATCAGAATGTAGTTCACTTGAATGCCGTACTGGAGATAGCCTAGTGTTTTTGTGTTTGGTACAAATATCTGAGATCAAGGCTAACATTAAGCTCAACGCTGGTGTTATGTGTTTCTAGTCAAAAGCGTAACTCAGTCTAGACACAATTATCTGAGCTCAAGGCTAACACTATGCTGGTGTTTCTAGTCGTAAGCGTAACTCGGGTGAAATAAATTTTTAAATTAAGTACCGGTACAGGGGAAGCAATGCTAAACCAGAAAGGAGGATAGGATTTACATATATTCATACCGCTGTCCCGGGGGAGAGGAGACCCGATAAAAATTACGGTACCAGCATTGGCAATTTTAGAATAGGACGAGAGTATTCTTATTAGTCAAGCCTCAATGATTCTAGCACTGCCAATAACGCAACGTCTTTATATGTATTGATATTATGCAGTTTCGACTGATGTAGTCTATACTCTATAGCTTACATGATGCCAGTGTGCCTACAAGCATTTTGCCCATCTCTTGCGCAATGCATTTTTCTGACCCTTGACCCCAAAAATTTTTTTATGTTTTACCAGTTTCATTCTTAAAATATTTGTTGTGTAGGCCTATTTTGAGAGTGTGTTTTTTCGAGCTGACTCTTGCGAACTACTTTACATGTTCATAAAAATCATTTTGATTAAAAATATTTCCCCAAATGCCGTTTAAAGGTACTCATTCTGATCCAGTTTATCCAACGACTATCGCAGAGTTTTCGAGGACTTTGATTATGGGTCTGAAAACCCCCTAGCATCGATCTTTAGTCATCAATTCGGCACGTGGAAGCCAAAATGAACATTGAAATATCAATTGCTTACTTGTTAAAGAAGTTAATTGGGACAAAATTAAACAAAGCATCGATCCTATTTGTGGGATATACATACTCAAAGCGTCACAAAATTTGAAATCGGGTTCCGGATACCTTTATTTCAGACCCTCGGCAGAAAGAGAACAGTTACTCCGCTTTTGACAAGTTAAAGACTGCCGATTTCAATCAGGCTTAAGGTTTTTGAATATTTGCAGTAGATCGTAATAAGCCTTATCTTGCCGATTTTACGCCACATAGGCTATTGATAAAGCTCAAGTGAAGTTGTGTTGTTCTGGTCAGGAAGACGATTGGATTTTTAAAAAAAAATATGATGTTTTTGTGCCGGCTCCTTGACTGTCTAGCGAAAACTAAAAAATTGTAACACCAGCTTACAAAATACACTTTGCTCGATCAGAAGAGGAAACATTGCATTATTTTTCCCGGAACCAAGTCTTTGTAGAACAAGAATTTTATTTCATGTGAATGTTTCAGCGGTATTCCATCAAGATCCATTTTCAGTTTAACTACTCAGAATGCCATTTTGATAAATCAAACCGTGACAGATGTTACTACTTCATATATAATTTAATCGAAAAAAGTCAAAATTTAAGTATAATCGCCTTACGATTTTGTAAAAATACTATTCAGGATAGAAAAAGTTCAAAGTCTTGTTTACATTTAATAAAGTATTTGCGCTCATCGTTACAGACAAAATATTTTCAATGACATTTTATGGGATTAAAATCAGGGTATATCAAGATATTGCAAAGTTGGGTGAGGGGGTGCTTTTCCCATGATCGTGTTATCTTTCTTGCTGCTACAGTTATCTATGAACTAATAATAGTACTCGATGTATGAAGTTGCAAATGTGAATAGCAACAAAAATTCGGGGTGCGATCCTCACAGCATAGCATAATATAGTTTTCATTTAGCATGTCGAAATATAAAGTATAGCATCGTTCCACCCATCACCGACTTCGACGAGTTTGTTCTTTTCTCGAAGAATGTCATTCATTCCTCGAGTACGTTGACGTCCAAATGTCCAAACGTATCGCTCGCCTATGTTAAAACAATAAAGTAATGAAAAAAATTACAAATTTCATCGCTATTTTTTATATCGCCATTTTCCAAAGGAAGAAATTTTAAATCTTTCAATTTATCCAATGTTTTTTATTCGGATTGTAAGACATCTCACCTCTTGATCCACATTGTAATGAAATTAAGTAATTGCTATAATCGGTTAAGTAAACGGCTTCCATAAGTGTTGTTCCTGAAAATTTATTTTTGTTACAATAATAAAATACTAGAGTTCGTTGAAAAGCACGTATTCAAACAGTTTTGCAGATATAAAATAATAGGTATATGCAATTGCCCCCCCCCCCATGCATAAAAATTCGTCTACTAACCGTAATAACTTTTCCACACATTTCGTCCATATTTCATTCTTAGTTCTTCCAAAAATGAGCGCCCTTCCTTCGTATTTTCTACAATAAAATGAATTCAATTTAATTGGAATGCTTAGGATTGAGATCCGTTAACGGTTTATCCTTTCAGTGTAATGAACAAATGAATTATAAAATTATAAAATTTGAAATCAACGATTCCAGATGAAACAATCACATCTATCATGAATGAATGTAAAAAATATTAACAAAACTTGCACTGGAAACTCACTGTGAAATTTAATATGACTTACCTGTGATTCGTGCTTGGTTAAACGAGTGAATATATATATGATAACAAATCGTTCGTAATTTAAAAGTAAGTCTAATCAGTAAGAATGAAAAAAAATAGCTTAGGCCTACTTACTTGCGAAATACCAAACCTTGTAGGGGCCTTCATTATTTTTTATTGATATTGTTAGGGAATAAATAACGTCTCCTCTAGAATATAAAACAAAATAATTACGCGATATAAATTTTACTTAGGATACCAGTATCTCGAGTTCATTAGGTTTCCTGCTACAGTTTGTAGCAGTGACTATGACTTCATTTACCTTGGATTTGACGACATCATGCAAATATCGAATCCGTATAATTGATAAGTAATATCGTCTATTATATCGCAGTGTGGTTTTCCTCCATCGTTCGCCATGTGTTCATACCATTTCCCTGTCATCTAAATTTTGCATGATACTTCAATAAAGGAATGTTATTGATAGAGTATTTATATCGGTTTCATTACATTTGAACCTGTGTACATTTGAACCCACGTACATTTGAACCACGTACATCTGAACCCACGACAATTGCACCTGCATACTATTGCACCTATGGAATTTGTTTTTTGTTTTACGGATATTTGAACCCATACTAACTCTAACCCATGGGTTTTAGCACCCGCATATAGATTGAACCCGCGGATATACACATGGGTTCAAATGTACATGGTTCAAATGTACGTGGGTTCAAATGTACGGTCACCTTTATATCTCAATATGATTTATATTTAAAAAAATTTTCATAATTATATGATATCTTCGTGTGACGAGAAAGTGAATTGAAAAAGACACAAACTTTGTAATAAGAAATACGTACATAACCCACTTTATTTCATTAAGCAAAACCAGTTTCTCGACGAACCGCTCTGAATCGTTGCTGTCTAAAAACTGGTGGATCAAATATAAAAGAAATAAAGTAGCGGCCCATACTCACTTTCGTCCAATCTATATAAGGCTGTTCTGGTAATTTGCAATTTCTGTCTGGTATCGCAATAGCATATTTAATCCTGCGTGCTAGGAAAAAGGTGAACAATAACGTGAAGTGAACGATTTGTGGTGCCATCATCATTTTTTCCCAAGCTGATAACAACGAGCTAATGTTTTTTCGATTAGGAGTATATTTTCATTCATAAAGCTATCGATCCATACGGAAATTAAAGTTCTTCCGGTTGTTGACGCAGAAATGATCATGGAATAATTAAAGAGAAATTATAAGTACTTGTGGCCGTTGTGGGACATAAATGAATACCTCAGCTTTACGGTTAACTCGAAAGAATACTAAATACCAATTCTATAGAACTAGCAAAAAAATGAAACATGACATGACGATTATCTGGTATTGGCATTTTGCTACTAAATTTAGATCAGTGACACCCATTTGCCATACTAAAGATATTATTACTCTATTGACTCATAATGTATACGCTTCATTACTTAACATTATATGAAAAGTTTGCCCAAAAAAATGCAAACACGCCATTGTTTGGACGGCCACGGTTCACAAACGTGGGCCGCTATATGACAGAATCTCTGCCATGATTTTGCGGTTAGGTTTTAACAGAATGACATATGTAACTTCTGAACCAGCGATGTCCAACCCACGACGGGAGAAATATATATACATAGCATAGTGTTCATGCTTCCGAAAACAAATAACTAACTAATCCCATACCCGACATGAAATGGTAACCGGACGAGAGGCCATGGTTCACCATATGGGTAAGCCGTCTTATTGGCTTTCCTCCCTGATAGTAATTTAAGTTTATATTAATGTGATGCTCATTTAATTATAAACTCTTTTAAAATTTAATCAAGACTTGACAAATTTTTTGAGCTCGATATTCATTTTTTGTCGGTTTGTTTCCAATTTCATAGTTTTGTCAGTTTGTTGCGCAGAGAGAGCTGAGAATATGATATTATACATATATAGGCTATATAACATATGGTTATATATACGCTTTGGTCATGACAATCCCACTAGAAGTACTTGCGGTACTGAACTATATTAGACCCTCAATTATTACCGGGACAGATTACAAACAAGAATATTAATTGATAGATACAATGGATCGAAAGACTCATTCACTCAACAAATTTATAAGATTTTGCAAAGTAAGAAAAATAGGCCATTTTTAGAAAACCACACAGAATACATCTTCAATAAATTCCACTCAACTAAGTCAATTGATTGGTACAAAAATATGGAAAACTAATATTGGAAATAAATATAAAGAGTTCTGTTGGAAGATACTTCATAATGGGTTGCCCACAGGAGATACAATAAAATACTGATTCATTGATGAACCAGGAATGTGTGTTTTATGTGATAATAGATTTGAAGAAACTGTATGTCATTCATTTTCAGAGTGCACTATAGATATTTGACAATGGTGTTGCATAGTAAATAATCAAAATAATATCATAGCAAATGATTCGGAATGTGAATCCAAATTAATCATAATAATATGCGGAAAATTACAAATTTGGGAATATCGAAATTCAATAAAATATGATGATATAGACAAAAGGAAAAGTAGTAGGCTATGCGTCCAATTTCCCAGTGTAAATTGATATGAATCTTGAATTTACTAAAAACAAGCGAAAGAAATGAATTATTGTTATATGAGCGCATGGATGATCTAATACAGCGTTTTCCAAACTGTGTTCCGCGGAACACTAGTCTTACTAGTGTTAAATCAAAAATACGTCTAAATGGGTCGCCATGGCAATCGTGAAATTGTTGCCCAACTGATCGTTCAATATCGCATCACTGTCGGCCTAAAGCGGACTAACTATAAAGTAAGGTGGTAGCATTTTCGCTAACCATCGGCCTAGCTTTTTGACAGTTAAGTTTATTATCAAGTTTGCAGCAATCCTTTTAGTTTTGCTATAGGCAAACAAGTAGTTCTAAAGAATAAAGGCAAATCTTCCGCCATCTCTGTCTGGTTTTACTTTGAAATGCTGGAAAAATTACTCACGTTCGCTAAACTCGATTCAGCATATAAATAAACTGCAGCTCGCGAAGTTGCAGCATGTGCTTCTATCTCCATTAGACGTAACATTAGAGACAAACACTACGTAATGGAAAGTAAACGACATAGAAAGGTAAAATGGATTTGTTGATTCATATACACAGCATTCAAATTGAGAAACAATAAAACATTTATAATAAATACAATATTTAAAATATTCAATCATATTTTAGGTATGTTTAGCACAATTCTGTTAGTTTTCGTGGCGCATTTGGCAACTCGCCAGACGAACCCATTGGGAACCGCTACATTACACCGTTTTTCTTTATCAATTTTACTTTTTCATTTTTTGGTGTTCCGTGGTCGAAAAAGTTTGGGAAACGCTGATCTAATACATAAAATCAATCATTATGTAAGTTTCTATGCAACGCCAAGTATGCTTAATATCCTGTGAAAGCTATTGCAATTTTAAAATTTGTACATCAGATGTATGAGACATAGGCGGCGAAAAGGAAAACACAATATAAAAGCTTGGTATTTCCTCATTCTCTGTCTAATTTTTGTATTCTTGTTGCATTTTTTATGCTAAATTTAATAAAACGATGAACTGCAAATTATATATAAATACAAGAGAGCTATGCTCAAATATATTGACACGTCACAAGGTGTCGCTATTTTTTATTTGGACACATAAAAAACGAATCTTTGAAGTCTACAGGAATTTTTGAAATAAGTAAAAGTAATAGCATTCTGGCAAGAAATCAATCTGTCACCATTGAAAATTTCAAAGCAATTGGTCCAGTATTCGAAGAGAAATACGATTTCATCGTGACGAAGGAGAAGAATAACGAGAACAACAAAATAATACTGAAACGATCATTATGTACACTGACGTGTCCAATAACTAATATATATACAATTGCTGTTTGGATTAAATGTGGATAAACTAAACTCCTGGGGACATATAATGGAATATACTAAATTAATGACATCATGGTAATAGTATGAATTTGCATTTGTTTGGATTTATATTATTTTATTCATATGTATTGGGGGAAATAAGATTTAAATTAAAAAACAGAAACATGGAAACAAAAAATTTGTATTTAAAGTATAATAATTCGATTCTAAAATTTCAATACAAAAAATCCGTTTTGCATTGGAATTTATTTGACACACACAAAAAAATATATAACAGGTACCTCATAAATTTATCAATCAGGCACCGGTAATGTAGTGTAATCCTAAATATATACTACTACGGGTGTAATATGGTAGTATAGCAATTACAGACTACAGTTAACACCATCAAATTTAGTGCAGTAGTGTGTCAATTTTTTTATTATAAATTTGCCTTTTTTATCGTGGCCAGATAAGTGAAATACCGGTAAACGAAAGCCAAGATAAATTATTTTTATCATTCAGTCTTCGCTCTTGGGCTCATTTTCTTCAACCTGTTTGTTTTGAACAGCCATGCCCAACGACTAACATACCGGCCATGCCCAACCCAAATGCCTTCTGGAGCCGCAAATTACATCTCCCAGTCTCAGATTTGACGCGGATTGCACATTACATGACATTATTAGTATGTCACACGGTACACCGCGAATGACTAGTTGTATTGTAAGGTTTAACTTAGTGGAATACAGGTAAGTATAATGACTAGTTACAAGCAGAAATAAAATATATAACCTATGTATTGAGATAAGAATAGTATCGGTACTAGCGTACGGTACTACTAAGGCCAAATTTGCCACCGATTCGCCGATCTTGTACGAGGAGCGCATTAGGAACAGTGACGGGCCTGACGACACATTGCGAATGGCGCATTACCGACGAGGGTATTATCAACCACAACAGCGCATTGGGGTCAAAGTGTTATAATTACTTTGATTGTGATAATGCGTGGTCGCATTAGGAATTGCGCATAATCTAATTTCCATGCAAAAACTAACTAAATCGATTAATTATTGGTAACTATATATAAAATGTGTGCACGAATTGGATGACGACTGATAATATGGATTAACCTATATTCAATGGATATAAATTGGACTATATATGATACAAAACTCCGGTAATGGTATGGTTTTATATTTTAATTGTTACATATATTATTGAACTTGTGGGCAATGTGTTTTGAAATTATGAAATTGTTTTAATTGGGTGCAAATTATACTAATTCGACAATAAAATTAATATACGAAAATTCCGTTTGGCACTGGAATTTATTTGGCAAAAAAAAAAAAAAAAAAAAAAAAAAAGGAATTGCGCATAATATACAATGACTGAATGAGGGCACATTGTGAACAGCACCCTGGTAAAATGTAAATATGCATTAGCATAAGTCTGAAAGTGTGTGGTTAGCACAGTGTAGGAACAGTACCGTACCGTATAAGTCAGTAAGTACAAGTTTCTCCACAGAGTTTTTTTCTTGGCGTAGCCTACGCCCTACCGGCTGACCGGTACGGTACGGTACGCCCTGGTAACTTTGTTTGGACATTTTTGGTATTTAACTCCAACTATAATCAGCTTGGCAATATAGTCTATTTTTGATGAAAGTTTATCTTTACTGTAAACTCCCGTATAGAAAATCGATCAATTCGGCTGTGGCAACTGGCAACCATTACAAAATTATTAATATGGTGTGGCAAGTACGGTAATATTCAAATTTTTTTTTTTCATTTTTGTTACTACCAGTACCGTACCGGTACCTATGTAATTTATCATGTTCTTCTTACTTTATACGTACCTTCTCTATGGTTGTGGGTGCGGGTGTGAAATATTCAATTATTTTAGGCGAGTGAACACGTACGGATGTAGGCCAGTACCGGTACCCCTTCTTCTTAGCGAAACCTTCCATCTTACTGTCTTATAAACATTAAGATATTTTGTACGTTTTAAACCTTATCTAAGGTTTTGTTTGCTCTCCTGATATCATATACAGTTTTTATCAATCATTTTATTGTTATGCTGATTATGGAGTCGAAATAAAATTCATCAGCTTGTATTCCCACTGGATTTATCACAGACCCTAATGTTTGTGTTTATTAGGATTTACATATTTATCCCGGGGGAGAGGAAAGACGCTAAGACTGCTTAACCATAATGGCTGTATGGCGAACCACAGCCTCTCGTACGGTTACCATTCATTTTCATTCCATGTCGGGTATGGGATTACAGGATTAGTTAGGTATTTGTTATTTCGGAAGCATGGACTTGATGATGGAGGAAGCTGTATGAAAACATAATATATAATATACTGATTTTAATTATGAAGAGACCAAGTTTGATAAAGTTCAGAAGTTACCATGGAATCATCAGTCCAACCAATAAGTGTTTAGAATTGCATTGGAATAAAATTTACTTTAATTTTGTGCAGCACAGTGGCCATTCTCCCTCCCCCTAAAAAAATTTTTAACGCTACGATTTTGCGAAATTTGCAGTGTGACAGAAATTCTTGCGCCTCTTCCGACACCCTTTCGCTCAATTTTCAGATTCTTGAACGATTTTCTGAAAAACAGGTTCTTGGCTTGCTATCAATAATCCTTTTACCTGTTTCCCAAATGAATCACCGTGGACTAGCGATTAAAGCATCAGAACTGTGTTGGCATCGCAGATTACATGTCTCAGTCTGCAGGTTCAAATGCCATGTCCGCACCTCACCCACCCAGGTCAGCAGGTTGTAATAAATTGGGTAGACAATGCTGAACTGTGGCCTCTCCAAATTGTGGTGGCTTCAGACATATTGTTAGATATCAGTAACTACCAGGCCACGCCATATAAATAAATCTTATTAGTAATTTTATAGTTATTAAATGATGCAAACCAGTTTCGAGCCATGGTTATCCTCTATACTCAGTTTCTATTTTGACTATTTTTTTAGCTGTTAAGCTACAAATGTAGTAGCCAATCTAATGTAATTAAGCACTGTCTGATTGTGTATTTATCATAGATAACAATGAAGTCAATACTCAACAATTTTGCTGCGGCCAAAGAGCTGGTTGGTAAGCAACGATCTTCACTTGTCTTGGTGTCTCATGTGCTTCATACACCAATGCCTTGTGAATATTTATCTGATATTGTGAAAGCCATTATGGTCGTTTTAAAAGATGAACTGGAAATATATTCACCTGATATGCATGGGGTGCCAGTTGCTTTTGATGAGAAGTCTGTGAAGCTGTTAGAAAAACATGGAAAAACAATTGGTGCACAGTCGTATGTGCATTGTGATATAAAATGTGATTTTATCGTGTTTCAACCTAAGATTGGACAAATTCTTAACGGAATTGTGAATAAAGTTACAGGGAATACGGTTGGATGTTTGATACATGGATGCTTCTATGCAACCATTCATCATAAAAATAAAAACACAGACGACTTTTTCTCAAATATTGAAATTGGTGATGAAATTTCTCTCAAAATTTCAAAGCTAGAAGAGGATGGGAATGGTGTACTGTCTATTATAGGAGCACCATTGAGGCGACGTAGTGCTGCAAAAAAGGCAAAAAATGTGGACTCTGATGATGCCCATATTTCTGACACAGCCAGCCTCGTTATTCATAGCCCCGATTCAGGAATCATAGACAATACTATGAATTCAAGTTTATTCCCCAGTCAGCATGATGAAATTGTTGGCAACTCTCAAGAATCGAATCTAGGTATTCTACCCCCAGGGTCTGGGGACGTAAATGGCATAAAAGAGGATATTAATCTTGATTTTCGAAAGAACAAGAAACCTAAAAAATCTAAGAAAGAAAAGAAAGTTAAGAAGAAAAAGGAACATGATGTAAATGAGTCCGACGCTACAACAACACTTTCAGAATCGTTCGCCGAACAAGAAATAGAAAAGAAGAAGAAAAAAAAGGAAAAAGACAAGAAGTCTGATAAGGAAAAAAAGAAAAAAGATGAAAATTCACAGATCAAAAATGAGACTTCGTCAATTCAGTCATCTAAATTCGGAATGTCTAATTTTGAATTTGATAATTTACCTACATTTTCACCTAAGAAAAAAGATACTGAAGCAGTTAAGCATAAAATTCTTCCATCCAATAAGCCTACTGTCGTTCAAAAACTTGAGCTGCATACTCCGCTGCCATGTAGGGCTGAAAATATAAACAGTCCCGAAAGACAGAATAATGATAATGAGGGAGAGCAGAACATAACTAATGCAGTAGCTGTTACAAAAACTAATCATACCCTAGATACCAGTCCGAAAAAGAAAAAGGTAGAGAAAAATAAAAAAAATCCACAAATTAAAACAATCGGTCAAAATATAACTACAGAAGGTTCAACTAATCCAACTGACTCTACTCCACCGTCTGATCAAAAGCCTTCGGTAAATTCGAATATAAATACATTCAGTGGTGCTGATAAAGAAGTTTTAAAATCCCTTGATTTGGGTAATATTCTTTCTTGGCATAAAAAAGATTCAGAACCTGATACTATAAACAATGTGCCCACAACTGAACCCTCAACAATAAAACAGAAAGATAGTAAAGTTTCTACGAAAAAAAGAAAACTTGGGACTAAAGAGGAATTTCTTTCACCGCCATCTAAAAGGACTTTACTAGATTCGGATGTTGCTTTACCGTCTTCAAGTTTACCAGATGCAGTTTTTGATGTTGGTAATGCATCATCCCAGAATTCGGAAGTATTCGAACATCAACAACAAGCTCTGTATCACTTACAAAAACTTGGAATTAACATTCCCCTTTCGCTCTTGTCATCTTCAAATCAGTCGAACACTTCAAACGAACCCGAAACAGGTTCTAAAACAAATAACTTCATAGTACCTTCTGTTACAAAATCAGCAAAGAAGAAGAAAAGTAAAAAATCAAAATTAGACTCTGTTTCAACTTTTCCATTATTTAATCCTATTGAAACATCAACACCTATGATAACTGACCCCAAAAGTTCTTCTAAACCTGAAATATTTGCATACCAGTCAAAAACAAAGCAAGGAACGATACAGGAAATTGAGCAACCAGTGACGTCAAGCAAGGATTCTGTCACAAGTAATATTGATAGCAAAAATAATGTCAATATAATGGGTGCAGAATCATCAGAAAAACATCAAATGGAACTGAAACATGAATGGAAAGTAACTGAACAAACTCGAAAGAAACCTAAAAAGAAGAAAAAGAAAAGTCATGCAGTTAGTACAAGCACAGACATTGCTGGGGAAACACTTGAACTTGACAGTTCATTAGCTCAATCTCATGTAAAACAGGAAGCTAAAATTGACAATGTCGAACAAAAAACAAAGAAGAAAAGGCGCAAAAAGAAAATTGCTGTAGATGATAATTCTGTAAGTAACGTTTCCACTGAATTCGACTCAAAAACAGAAATATCTTTGCTACAGCAAAATGCTAAACCGGAATTAAAATCGCCCACTTTTGACAAACAGGTAAAACCAAAAAAGAAGAAAAAAAAGGATAAAGAAACAAATAACGATGATTCAATAAACGGTGCTACCCAAACATTACATAATGACTCTACAAATTCATTGAAAAGAAAAAAGAACAAGAAGAAAAGGGATGAACTGGGTGAAAAAAGTAAGAAAAAACATAAAAAAGCAAAAAGTATGAAACAAGAGAATGATTGAAATCCAATTACTGACGAGCAGTCAATGTCCATTAATTGACAAATGACCATAAGTCAAAATATTTGAAGCCATGAATATGGGATTGCAAAGAAAAAGTTATTTGTGTACTTCAGTGAATAACACAATACAACATGGCAAAGTACAAAATATTCTGAAATGAATCAAAAATTTTATTTACTGAGACTCTACAAATATGCTTTTTATTGACTAAAAACAAAAATACAATATCAATGTGATAATGTTCTTAATAACACCTTTTTAACAAGTAGAATCATGAGATCATGAAAAAAAATAGGAAAGGTTACTGAACCTTGTCTACTTTTTGAGGGGCAATATTTTTATCGCTCTTTTTATGTTTTATTACAAGAAATGGTGAATCAAACTATTTAATTCTTTGTAAGTACACATAATGGATGTAAATTCATTTTTACAATCCATTACCATAATCTAAGTATAATGATTTGTACAAAAATTTTGAACTGAAATCTCGATTTTTGTATTATTGGAAGAACTAATCTAATCCAATTATCCAATTATCTACCTTTCCAGCAATGACTTTCATTATTGGTTCTGCTCTACTCTTGAACTGCTCTAACATGATTCAATACAAATCATTAATAAGTTATTATTTACTGTCTTGTAGTGTATTGACAATTTTTCTTGCATAACTGTCCAGCTATAATTCAAACCAATTATCTTTGTGGTATATCAGTTAATAATTTTATTTGTTTGGGTCATAGTTAAATTTCCTGTGATAACAGTGTCTCACGTATATTGTTTGTGTATTTCAAGCTGGTTTGTTTTGAAACGTTTCTGAGAAATATGATTTCGTTATATTTTTATTGGAAACAGCCTACATCAACAGCGATAATGAATAGATTAAATTTATTAACAAATTATGTAATATGGACTTTAGTTGTATATTAGATAACGAACTAAGGCAACAGCCCACGGCTATCTGTCGTATGTTACAAGCTTATAATAATAATATTGTTTGAAGTAGTTCATATTGTGTTCCATTGCCATCATATCAATGAATGTTTTTAAAGAACTTTTGTTATTTTTCAATATGAGGTTATATAAGTTACAATGCTGCCCCAATCATTATGTGACTCCACTCTCTTCATTACTTATTGAATGCCGATGTTAAACTTTCTCATATAAGTTGCAATTTTATGTTTTGCCAAATTCATGGTTTTCCTAATTCTGTTCCGTATTTTTGACAGATTTTTATAGTTATTTATTACGTACTATCAATTATACTAAATGTTTCAATGTAGTTGGATAAAGCATAGTAGAAGGTTGGATGGAGAATGTGGCTTTGTATTGGATGCTGATTGCACTGGCTGTAACTGTTATATCAGAACTTGGTAGTTCTTTGAAAGATTTGGGCTCCATTGGATGCGAGACGTCATTGGAAAATATCATCGAAAAACGAAATATCAAAACTTCTGACATCGTCTTTGAATGTCCAGGTTCATGCCTTGGACCAATGTGCCGAGTCACAGGCTCGAATCCATATCATGAATCTTCTAGCTTGTGTTGTGCAGCACTTCATTCTGGTATTTTTGCAAACAAGGATGGTGGGCGTGTGGCTATACATATTAGTCGTCAAATGAATAATAATATATTTCATGGATCTACATGTAATGGTGTAAAATCTCAAATGAGATTAAGGACTACGTTTGTATGGTTTCAAATTGAAAATTCAACGCTATGCTTCACTACTCCAGCGCTTCCAGTAACGACAACAATGATTATGCCTTCGACTACCAAAGTTGGGGATGAATCCTCGATTTCTACCTCATCGCAATCTGGTACAGTAAGTTCAAAAAGTACATATCATGGCGATAATCGGGTTATTACTAAACAAAATTCAGTATCTAATACGACAAATGGAGTTCAATTTAAATTAGAAGATAAAACGAACGAAATATCAACAATAGATCATTTTGAGACACATATGATAAACACGACAGTTTTTAATTCTGTCTTAAGCAATAATGACCAACAATATAGTCTTGGTTCAAGTTCTCTTGCGGAAATGATTGGAATAATAATCGGAGTATTTGTTGCTGGTTCATTATCTACTTTTTTACTTATTCGCGTTTGGAAAGTTAGAAGAAAGATCCGCAAACAATGGCAGAATCAAAACAGTTCAATTGATCGGGATAATTGTGTTTGCTATTATAATTTAAACTCTTCAAGACAGGGTTTATTACATGACCCTGAAACGTGTGAACGTCCATGTTCAATTCGAAAACCGATTCTTGATGTTGGAGTACCTCATACAGCAGATGAGCAAAGAGATTCTGATCAAAGACAAACTCCTTCCAATTGTGTGGAAGTTGTCAATGAAGACCAATGTGGTCTGTCATGCAGTGGGACATGCAATCCTGAAAGTTATGATTTTTAGCATTCCTATAGGTGTTATATCAATTCATAGAAATTCTACTATTTATTATAATTCAAAATATTTTGTGCCAAAACTTTGAAATTCCTATTTAATTGTTCTCTTATTTGTATGGTACAATTTTTAATTTATTATAAAATTTTTAGGCTGCCAAAAACTAACTGTAATTACTTTGAATTTTAATCTCAGATCCTAGAATGAATTACCATAAATGCGCTCAGCTAGTTTTTTTTAATAGGCCCTATAATATTTTTTTAAACATTTGAAATAGGCAATGGCCTAGTGGTTTAGGCGTTAGGCTTAACTATAAAGTCATCGAAGGTTCAAATCCCATGTCGTCCACCACACACAACGTGTAATAAATTGGGCAGACGATGTCGAACGGAGAAGATTCTAGTCCTTCCAAAATAAAGTAGTTTCTACATAACAGTAACGTTTAGTAAACTTTTTTCTAATTCAGCTATCCACTTTTTATCTACAATTACATTAGAGATACAGGCTGATCCTTTTTTATGTTTTTACAATATTCTTGTTTATAGTGGGTAAATCCGCCAAAAAATTAAATTCGTACATAATATATATTTCCAAAATCTTTTTTTGACCATTTGAATGTTCCAACTCACTTTTAAGTACCATAGTTCAATGATCCCACTTGCTCAACAATATTACGATTTTTGAAGTCATATTTGTACTATAGATGTTTGTGAATTCAGATCTTGTTTATTTTGGCTCATTCAGACAGTGAAATTATTTCATCACTCTTTATAATTTATGAGCCTTTTTTTATATAAATATGTCAGATGTTTATGAAGTTCCACATTGTGTCTGAATGCTGTCTATTTATTGTAATATACAATATTTAATACAGGCTGATGTATATTAGTGTATGTGTTACCGGTATATAATATTTACTGTACAACTTAGTAATTAGGATAATTAAATGAAGGATATTTTTTAATTGAATTGGTTATCCTAAATAATGGAAACTTTGTGGCTAAATCAAAATATTTCATCTTTTAATTAATCATATGCTATGCTAATATCCAGATGCCATAATTTTATGCAATCCAAAATTTTGAACAAATTTTTTGTTGCAGAATGAAATTTTCTGCTGGAGTAATTGAACCATGACAAAAGTGGTAATTATCTAATAAGTTATCGCCATGCCATTTGTTATTTTTACAAAGCTCGTTAATTAAGTGTACAAGGCCAAAAATGTAAAACATGATAGTAAAGTAACATACACAGTAATGGACCATAGTCATTAAATGCCTATTTGGTGGGATAATTATGCCCAATGCTCATCTCATTTTTTGTATATATTTTGGTGTATTCTGATGTGTTGATTTACTAAAAGTTGTGAAGAGATTCTGTTTGGGATTATGCTGCCTAACGTACTAAAGCAACACCATCAAATTATTTTTTATTTATTGCATTAATTTATCAATTCATTAAACCAAAATATGTGTCTGCAAGTAATCAGTTTTTATGTTTCGTATAAATTTTTATTAAACTTTATTCGTTTCAAATGAGTTTTGATACTTATATAAAATATACATGACATTATACAAATATTCTGGTGCGTCCCTAAGAAATTCATTATACAGTTTTAATAAAGATTAAAATTATTTTAAAAACTTTCTGTAAATATTGTCATTTGCTTCTGGCATTGCAGTCTTTCTGTTTTGTTATTTGCGTTTCTTGACATTTGCATGCATAATGTATATGCTTCAATTTGCCTGCCTGTCTACAATATTCGGGATTTTTTTTTTTGAAGAATTTTGTGTATTTAAGAGTTCTCAATATCTTTTTTGTAGTGTCAATTGACAAACCACTCTGCAGCGAAAATTTGGCACAAATTCTTAAAATTTTAGTAAAATAATCTTAAATCGTAGATATACAGCATATAAGGGAATTGCTTGAGGTCAGCTTTAGTAATAGCTAAATACATTTAAGCTCATCCTTTTCTTTTTATTGAACAATGGTGAATGAGCTTTTTGTCTTGTGTTTTCCGTATTGGTAAACATTGACTCATATAATATCGTAGTTGTTGCAGCCAGGTTTTGACTGGTTTAACACTTTTTTAATCTAGTGTGCCTTGCTTTTAAAACAGTAAAAATATGTAATTATTGAATAGGATATTCCAAAAATGGATGGATCTGGCAAGTCTGATTGGAGAAAGAATTCTGATGATTCCGGAATTTTAAAAACTGCTGAGTTTTCGAGTCAAACTTTCACTTCCTCGTCCACCAACTCAAAAAGCAGTGAATTCTGTCCGTATTCAATACGTGAAAGTCAGTTATCCATGGAATACAGATATGATGTGCTTTTAATTTATGATCCAGATGAAAACAGCTATTATCTAGATAAGTTAATGGAGTATTTAAAACCTCAAAACTTAGAAATTTTCGACTTTACGCGAGATGCTCCTCCCGGATTACCACAAAGGAAAGTTCTACAAAGTGCATTGAAAGTATGTAGGTATACCTGTATTGTTATCACAAAGAAATTCATCTCAAATTTCTGGCTTCAGCTAAGAACTGACATGTCAATACAGGATATGCTTGACAACGAAGAAAAAATGTATTCTGTCATTGTTGTCGTCATGGATAGCGAAGTGAAAAAAGCAGATTTGCCGTTAGATTTGGCTACAATATCGCCTCTGTTCTTCTCTGAAAAATTTTTTGAGAATCGTATCAAACTTGCTTTCAGTAAATCGATTCCATTTCCATCTACACAACATTCTTCACAACAAAAAAGCATAGCGGACAAAGAAAATCTGGGAAGTGAATACAGTCATGCAGAAACTGCTCGTTTTGATTCTAATGGAATTAATGTTGAAAATTCTAAACATATCAAGCACACAGAAATAAAAGATCAGCTCAAAAATAGGTCTCCTTGCGAGCATGGAGATGGTACTTTTGTAATGCCACCATCAATTTGTCCGACTATAGAATCAATTCCTGGTCATTCTTCGTCTGTGATGCATAGAACTATCAGTGTGGTCGTGAGCTCCACAGGATGTAGAGAACCACAAGAAACGTCTGACTCGGCCAATCAAAAAGTGGAAGAATTCGAAAAACAAAACTTTGATCTAGTTCATCCCTCATTTGTAGAACAACCCATGGAATCTTACAGTTCCATGAATGATATATTCTCACCCACTTGTCGAAGCTTTAGAGAAGACAATTTTTCTTTTCAAAGTGATACGAATGTGGAACATGACACATTGGAATCTATCCCTCCTTCTCAGATAGCAACTACTACTACAGGATATGGCCCACCTGCTTTTTTCAGTATAAGTGATCGTAGTGTTATTAATAACAGTGTAGTAAATGACTCTGTTCTGACAGAATTGGAGATTTCTGCAGATTCACTTCCAATTTCGGTTAATGAAACGACATCACAGTCTATGTTGCCTAGTTATGATATTGCAGTTGCAAGCTCTTCCCAAGCGTATAACAAAAACTTAAAATTAGATGATGATTTGTCATGCTCATCATTGCCTGCCAACTTGAAATCCACTGATGATGGGTCTGGTTCCAGATTATCTGAAAAAAAGAAATCAAGATCAGTGCGGTCAATGTTTGGATCAAGATTATTGAAGACTTTATCATTTCGACAAAAGAAGAAATGATGATTAACAGCTCGAGCGTGAATATTGCAGCATTGCTATACTTGGAAAAATGGTACTACTACTCATACATACATACACAATTTAGCGCATGTTCACTAAACGGGTCACATCGACTTTTTCATATGTTATTCATAACGCCCACTTGGCTCCGCCATCCAAAGATTACGTCAAAGAGCTTGCCAAAGTATAGCTACGGCCACCCAAAATGGCATCTATATCAAAATCGTTCTATGTGTACATCCATACGTGTGTAACTCTTCATAGATAGTTTTTTCCATTTGTCAACTTTATTTGTTTGTTGCCAGTGATTGAACGACTATGGAATTCAGAAACACATGCCAAATTATTTTATCCTCCTTTTTTTCATTTTGTAAATTTTTAAAAAACTATGCAATGTACCACTGCCATGATATGAGATTATTGTACTGTTATTAGGGAGAAAAGGTTTACTTAACATGAGGTCTGCTTTAGTTAGAATACCTTATCTGATCAATGAGGCATATGATGACCACCATGTCAAATTTGTGAGATACATACTGTAAAATATAACATTTTTTTCTATGAATTGACTCACAGATTTTATTAGGTAGATTGTATATAATTTTCTGCAACTTCCTCATCATATTATATTCTCCTATGTCTTCAATATATTACTATGTGTGCATATTTTGAGTATTTTGCACATAGATAAAAAGTCCTAATTGCTGTCAATACGATCTGGAAGCTTGCTGTAGGTGGAAGCCAAGCCATACCCTAATAATGCCATAGTGTTTCCAAATGTTTTAGATCTACTGTTTTTCTTCTGTGTGTTTAAAATTGTTTTAATATTTTTTATTGAAATCTTTAATGAATTTGTATTATTCGGATGTGTATGCATTTTATTATTTTTATAAGCTGTCTTAAATACTACCACTGCTGATATATTTCTTCAACCATTTTTTTTAAATTTATAGCTGCTTTGTTCAGAAGTATTTTACGAGATGATGACCAATTATACATTTTGAAAATAATGAAAAACTTTGCTTTGCTCATAAACTACATTTGCTGAAAAAAAAATTTCCCATTATTTACATATATGTAATATCCGGAATATTATGTACGCAATTTGCCTTTTTAATACTGTATGAAATATACATAGTCTTTATCACTTGGAGGATTATTATTTTGGCGCATTGTGCTTTTCCCTAGGTGTTTCTTACTGGTCACAACCAGAGGATCTTAGTGGTTCTCAAACTTTTAAAGCCTCGCCCCCTTTTTAGAATTAGTCGAGTTTCGTGCCCCATCTCGTACACCCCACCGTTTGAGAACCACTGGTCTTCATACTTCTCTTCAGTTAAATATAGAAATCCGTAATAATAACATGCCATCGCACCTCTGCTCACCCTAAGCGGGTTCGCATGACGTGTAGGATTTATATGTACAGGATTTATGTACATGCGGTAGCTGGCCAACTATTGCCATGCCCAACATGGTACGGTAACCGGACTGGGGGGCACTTCTCTGGTGGTATATATCTATGTGTCTGTGCGGTTTTCACGTTTCAGCATCGTCCGGTTCACACATGTCCGTTTTTGTACAAAATGTATTTGTTTAAATGCGAAGAACAATAAGGGGAGTGAACCCGATCACCAAATTTCCATCATACATTGGAGACCAAAAATCCTGTTTCATTCTTGGAGTCGGCGCTGATTTAAATATTTTTTGTGGGCTTGTGATTGTTTGTGGCCATTTTAACGAAGAACTGTCTTTGTCGAGATCTTCAATTGATTGAAATTAGGCATAATCCAAAAGCAAAACAATGAATTGCTTTCATATTTAATCACAAGAATCTAAAATATTCAGCAAGTAGTATGTCTCCACAGTTGCTTTCAGCTGCCAATGCGGTAAATTTGTTTTGAATTTATTTAAAAAATGTCTGGAATATTTTGGAAAATGATTTTGAAGATATTAAATCTACTAATTTGAGGTCCCACAGTTCTTTAGATCAGAGCTCTTCAAACTTGGGGAATCGACCCCCGTTGAGTTGCGAAAAGACTCAATTCTGCTACTTAGTGCTCATTAAAGGTATTGTCAATTTTATTTTTCTGCATTATTAAATTTTACTTTATTTTTATTTCAGTCGTAGAGTTCGCGAAAAAAACTGGCTGTGCCAAGTTGGTAGTAATGAAAAAAGTTGTTAAAGGATGTGTCCGAATGTACCCAACCAACGGGGCGCAGTGGGACATTTAAAAAACGTCCGTCAAAGTATTTTTTGGTAAAATGTGTATCGTTTAGAAATTTCTTAGTCGCTGAATAAAAACTACATTGCCCCATTAGTGCTGCAATGTCAAATAAATTGCACAGATCATAGGTCTCAATATGCAAAAGAAAAAAGTGTACCAACCTCCCCCAACTAATTTTTTTTTCAGTGAAACAGTCCAATGTTTATTGTTCAAATCAAGTATGCGGGTCATAGGGGATACAGTACCGATGAACTCAAAAAGTTTGCCGGGCCATATAAAACTGTATAATACCAAAAGCATTGACAATAGCGCCGTCGGTGGGAATGTGTATTGTATACTTTCATTTCGTATATTCTGTTTCTATTTTCTTCAATATTTGGCTCTGTATCTGAAAAGCTAACATATTATAAATGAGTGAAAGCTAAGCTCTAGCTGCGTAATGACGAAAATGAGTCCAGATTTACCTATAGTATAATTAAATGATATAAAAAAAAGAACAATAACCTTGCAAAATTCTGTTAAGTATCCATTTTTTCCTGTTGCCCGATGTAAATATCTCAAATCAAAATAATTTAGAAAAGATGTGTTTACTACAAAATATAATTTTTTCCTTTATAATATGTCGGCTACCGAGACTGTATGGGTTGATACAGATATCAGTTGGGCTGGACGAATTATCTGCTTGTGGCTCTCTATCATGATCTGAATAAGGTTACATAAAAAATTATCACAGCTCAATGAATTTTAAATAAATTTTCAAATATCAAAATGTTGAACCTTTACTCTTGGTATACATGTTGAAATGACATTGTTTTTAATTTCAGCAAATTTTGAGAATTTTTTTGATAAATTCTGTCAAAACCAATTTTTTGAACAATGAAATTCCGACTAAATTTGACAGATATAATTGTTTCATAAAAACAGATCACGACACCTCACAAACAAGTAACCAACGTTCAAAGTTTGTAGCGATTATGGGAGTGTAGTCATGTGTTGTATGAATGGGTGCGTGGATTCGTGGATGCGTTGGTACGTCTTGAAATACGTTCCTGTGCGCCTCCAATACAATGCATGGATAACGTGGGGTGGTCGAGTCACCCCCATGATGAAATAACAAAGCTATTCTCCTAAACTGCGTGTGTGAAATGTGGTTAAAATAAATTTCAACTGCTTAACAAATAATCCTCAGCAAGTTATTGAATGTGTTGTTCTAACAACCGTTCGTCAACTTACCAACAATACAACGACATCAATCACCCGCGCAATTCTGTAACTGGATGAGTCAAGCAAAATGCTACAAGCTGACGCGATTACATCTCGCGTACACTAATAATGAAGGCATAAGTCAATTACCTAAAATCAATTTAAAAACGCTCATAATAAAAGTTTTGGTTATCCAATCCGGTTACCGCAAGATAAGGATTGTTTCATGCATAAATTGAGCATAGTTACAGTTAAATAACTGCGAATTTTTTTTATCTTGTCATGCGAATGGAATAAAATTAACAGTCCAATCATACAGTCAAGCGTAACGTGCTCATGAAAGCATATTGCGTCGATACGGTTTGTTAAACTAACTGCCTTGATTTTTATGAAGAAATCCATATATGCTGTAGCTTTTCCAGCTGGTAAAATTCCAAAACATCTTAGATTAGAAACTGAAATTAACAGCCACTTTCGATACACACTCCGTTCAATTTATCACAAAACCATAATCAGGCTGTGACTTACGAGTTTAATAAATATCACTTTGTTTACTCGACGACTACTGTCCGGGAGTGAGTGCTCCTTCATGTAACATGAATTGTACGATTATTGAATATAAGCACGCTCCGAATCCGTTTCTTGTATAGTTCCATGCTGCCCAACTTCAGGTAAACAACGATGCTGTTTATCTTTAGGGTTCAGTTGAGAAATGTTTACGTTTTCACCTAAAAATATTTGCTCCGTTCTATGATAGCAGAAGTAGTATATGACGCAAAAAACGTTTTGATTTGACGATGTAGATCACAGCCTTCAGTTTGGTAATTTCCACGTTTCGGTAGTGTAACTTTAGTCGTATTTCCTTACCTATTTGCTCGATTAAAGACAACAAAAGCACGACAGTTAGTAATGGTTACAGTCATATTGCTGAGCTGATCCTACGTGGTGTTTCTGTTAATTGGGTACTGTTACTGAGTATAGTCTGATTGTGATGCAAATGCTCAAAGTTCCTTGGTTAGGTTTTCACTCACTTTAGGTAAATCTTATTGGATCAATCGTTTAAATCTAGAGGTGTAAACTGTAAAGGATAATAATGATATCTCAATTACCACAGATATTTGTAAAGATTTGTCGATATGTTTAGTGTTCTGCGTAAACGAACGGGTTATAAGTACCACCAACTTTTATAAGGCGTGTAGCTTTTACATATTGTTATATCTTCATAAAAACACAAAATTCAATCATCGGAATTTTCACTCAGTTTGAAATATTTGACAAACCAATGTCACAGTGAGAGATAACGTTATTCATTCGTTTATTAATGTGTAAAGTTGGGAGTGCAAAAAATTGCGCAAACTCAATTTTCCTTTTGGTAATTTACCACGGTTATTCCCCGGTCCATGGCGTACAAGTGTGTACAAATGCAATATACAAGGATAGAATTAGGTGTATTTGAAGTATTTCATGAAGAAATATTTTGCGTTGATTTATTGCTTTTGCCTAATTAGTAAAATAGTATTCGTGTGAGATTGAAATTCCAAGAATATCATATACATTACCCGCGATCATAAAAGTGTAAGACTTACTGAGAGTATGAAGAATTGTTGTGTAGAATTGCGCTTCGGTTTACATACCTATTGACGCGATACTCACAGCAGTTCATGTCAATACGACCAGCCATTAGGAAGTGAATTCCACATAACTGAAGTACATGGGAAAAAAACTTGGCCTCGAAATTCTTTTTTCGCGTCTGGTAGTTACCCTGATAGTTTTCTGATGGTAGATCACATCCAGCCCAGTTTGGCGACTGAGAATTGTTTTGGAGAGACAGGTTCAGAAGAACAGTCCATTATAATATCCGTGAAACAAGCACGGCGACGCAACTTTTCATCATTGGAACGCTAATTGGAAGCCAATCATATTTGGTATTCTTTTTTGAATAAGGTCCAGAAGATCCCGATATTATTACTTATCGATCTTGATCGGTAAGTATGTTGATAGGTATTTGTCTGTCTGTCGTCTGTCTGTCTGTCTGTCTGTCTGTCTGTCTGTCTGTCTGTTTGTTTGTTTGTTTTACTGTCTGTCTGTTAGACACTTCCGTATCTTACGCGATATCTCACGAAAGCGGGGTTGAATCTGCTCCAAATTTTGCATGTGCATTCATCATATCTCGGACCAGAAGCCTTTTGATTTTGGATGTGTTATGTCGTATAATTAGCGAGTTATAAATTAATTAGTAATGGGACACGCGGTGTAACTATAGAGTCAGAGCGAATGAATCGAAACCGCAGTTTCCTAACTTTCGATCGATAAGTATTCGGTCTGACCGATATTCTCGTTAAAATATTATGTCGTTTCAATGAGTTTGCGTAACCTTTCATATGAATTAAAGTTCCTCTTTCATATCGAGTGCGAACATTTTCTCTGTTGTTGACTCAAGATTACAACCTAGACGTAAGTATGACTTTTACGATTTTTATGTACCAGTACAAATACACGTAAAGTAAATTAATTTTTGCATATTTGTGATATTAGCTATTCGATTACTGGAGTGTGGTGACTGTCAAATTGGATATCAAATTTCCGATTTCGAATAATAATGTTGCGTATTACAAAGACAATATAGATATAAGCCATAGTTATTGCGTAATAAATATCTGATGAATAGCCAGGAAAACCCAGATCATTATATTTGAATGCGTTGTCTAGAAATTCGGTCTCCCAGGTTGATTTTCACAGAAGTGTTTTCTATAAATACCAATGAGAACGTTTAAGTTGCACCATGGCTCAGAAATTTGTGGATAACAAACATGAAAGTTTGTTTGCCACTGGATACCTTGCTATTGTATTAAAAAACAACTATATTGCACAAGCTGAAATAACGATTGAATTTCAAGGAAATTTTACGGTTTTAAAATAGTGATGATAAAATATGAACAATTACCGATCATCAATTTTGGGAATAAATCGTCAAATGCAATAGATACTTGGAGAAATAGCTTCGATTTATTTAGTGAGCAAACAAACTCCGTAGCATGTTCTTGTTCTATTCAAATTAATTCGAATACATACGCGTATCAAGCACTTTTCAGTTGTATTATGTTATTTAACGCGTGGTGACATAAATATGCCGTAGATAAAATTTGGTTGTTTTGACAAACAGAATAAAACTTCATAACCACAAAATATTTTACAAGATGTGGCTTTAGGAGGCAATTCATTCAAAAGCATCGTGTTGTATCATTTGCCTGGTATGACATGTAGAAGAACTGCAGTTGGTCAAGCATGAATATATGTTAATTTATATAAATAAGCGCTCTGACGATCGGGGAGAAAAAGCGGAAATGTGTGCAAATAAGAAGTACTTACTACTTGTGTCAAATGTTTGCCGTTTGAAATACCGTATGACTTGCGTTAAGAATGTAACAAAACGAAAATATACCTTTGTTACTTTCACTTATGTTTCGATCATAATAAAAAAATCTTGGTGGATGTAAGTATGCAGTAGATTGCATTTGAAATAAATCTTAGCGTCTATTATACAGTTATAATAGGTATTATCTGCTAGTTAGATAGAAGATTTTGATTGCGATGTTAAAAAAGCGTTGCGTGTTGCAACATTCAACCAAAATTTCCTGGCATGTACTAGTCTTGACATTGCGATATTATTTTGAAATGACATGTTAAGAAATTCAAACACTTGCGCAACTTCTTTGTTGCTTAAAAATGTCTCAAGTAACAAAGACTGTAAAGTAAATGGTTCTGCTCTCAAACTCTGGGATATAAAAATTACCCGGGTGAAACCCAGACAGGGGCATGGGTATTTCTTGTGTTGTTTTGTTTAGTAAAATATTATGTGCTATTCTCGCTACGTTCATGATATGATATTATGCAGCTTTTCGTTTTTCAGTTATCAAATATTTGATTGGACATAATTAAGGCAGTTAATATTAATAATTCAATATTTCTATAGGCTCCTTATGTAGTAATTCTTACCAACAATGATCCGGTCGCAACGTAAAGCAATGGAACTATAAAAATCTTTACCTAGCGTCTGAATGGTAACGTTAACAATGTATATAACAAACATCGTTTTAACATTTTAACAACTTAATTTTATAAATCAAAAATACGCTCCCACTATATACGGTATATATATATGAGTATTGCAATACAACTGAGCATTATTAGTATTTTTCCCATTTCCCTTTCCCAAGTTATTCGTACTTGGGAAAAATATAAAATAGCACGTGAAGTGTCTTCGGTATCCACCAGGTTTTACAACCCTTAGTTCCGTCTTTCAAACAATGGCAAGTTTGAATATTTTGCAAAAATAGCCTATTCGTAAAATATAACAATGTGGAAATATTCTATTTATTGCTGGTCGCTTTGCAAAACAATATCATTGCCATTGTTTATTTGGTACGAGTTCTGCATTCTGGTATAGTGGTATTTCATGACGGTTGTTCTTATGGCGTAATACGTGTTTAAATTAAAGAAGTTTCGATTTTTTTTTGTAAATTAATTTGATCTATGCCAATCCTAAGGTGATTTTCATTAAAATATACATAGAACAATTAATCAACGACGCCTATAAATAGGATGTACTACGACAGCAGAGCTTTTCAAACTGTCTATGTCATCTTCTCATAGGAACACGCTATATGTAATGAAAGCGACATAGTCATATGGAGCAAGTGGACCACAAATGATAATAATTTGGGTATTCCGTGACTATACAAAAGTGAGAGGATATGACAAAGTTCAGTAAAAATTGTGTGCTCAACAGTGTTTTAATCCGCAACAGTTTTGGTTTTGGTTTAAATCAAGGATTTTCAAGGAGATTTAATTTCACGGCAGGTAAAGTTGGGAAATTGACATTTTTGTACTTAATTCATTGTTATATTTTTATTTACAGATTTTACTCTTATTAATATTAATATACTTATTGTGGTCAAAATGGTTCAGTGGGATGTCAAAATTACAGAAGTAGAGGAAGGGAAGGACGTCACTGAATCTGTTGTATCGGTCGGGGAAGGAAAACGAACACATTGTAAGTATAAACATGGGCCAATGATATAAATAGAATATGGAAGTGATAAGTATTAGGTACTCCAGTACTTTAGTAGTATTCAATTCCTTCTACATGCCACATAAATTTATTAATTGTCATGGCTATGTTATAATCCTTTATTCTCTTAAAACAGGAAAAGCAAAACAAGTAGTCTAATTGTGTATTTTAGTGGCTGTGTTGTATAATGAATGGTTTTGATATTGCCTTTATATAATTATATTTTTTGTTTTTATTTACAGTGTGGCAGTATGTATATACCACGATGTTGATATTCTACGTTGCTACTTGTGTAACACTAGGTAAGGTATTACATATTTATTAAAATATGTTTAAACAACACAATAAAAAATTAAACATTGAAATTCTTAACAGAAAGTTTCAATTTTTATGAAACTAAGATAAAATTTCGAGTGCAAATAATATATTGTTATTTATCATTTATGGGAACAACGTAATTGACATGAATACTTCTTCTTTTTCAGGAGCCCTACGTAATTTAGGCTGTTCCCTCGATGGTTTCTTGGTTGTCTGGTGGACCGCACATGCTGTCTTTCTTTTCGTTGGGACAATCATTGAGTTCGTACACATCCGTCGCATTGACGATTCAGACGTCGACGTCAGGTCTCGCTGTCCCTTAAACTGCGATTTGTTACTTGTTATCTGGGGAGTCATCGGTAAGACGGCTAGACCTTGATTTTACTTCATATTAAAAATGTAACCTAATCCTATTTTTGGTATTTCTCATGAACTCAAAAAAGCGGTTAATTTCTTTTTAACTTTATTTTTTATATTTTTTATCAGGAGTCATAGGAAACTATATGGTTCAGCATCAAGTGGACGACACAGTTTGCGCAATGTTTCAATGGACTGGGTTATTAATTTGGAGCATCGTCTCTATTGTTGTTGTTGTCATGGGAAGGATTTCGATCAAAGTTTGTTACTAACTTCGGATGCAGCAATCATTTGCAAATAAAACATTATGACGAAAGACCTTTGATAACTGTGAACTCAGCTGTACAGTCGAGACTTTTATTTTCACTACAACTTCGACTCTTCATCTGTATTTATGCAATCTTATATTAATGTTCAAATGAAAGGAGTGTTTTAAACTGATGGAAACGGAGACTTATATTCAGAGCAATTAACATAACCTATGGGGTGACCCTCCAAAACGGAACCCAAGTCAATTGGAACATATTCTAGAGAGAACATTATTGTTGTGCAAAACGTCCTATATTACTGAAATTTTTGAGTACTATCATACACAAACAGATTTTCAAGTGTTATAATAAATTTTCCTAGAAGTGATTGAGAAATGTATGGGTTCTGTTTAATAGGGTCACCCTGTATTTCGTGTTTTAATTGATATATATAGTACGTAATTTATGGTATCATGATGATTTCATATACATTGATCGTGTTTGTCTTTGTTAACCCTTTACTCATTTCGTTAGTGAACTGTTACTCTTGTCTCACGAATTGTTTTTTCGTTTGGCCCGGATAATTAGTGGCTACGAAGCAACATAGTAATATACATTCATATTCAGTCATAAAAATCATACTGCCATAAACCATCATTGAAGTTGGCACACTATATTCAATTATTCACTTGACTCCTTCACATAATTTTATGTGTCAATTTCGCAACTTTTGGTGACGGTATTTTTGTGATGCTTAACATGAATATCAATAATAACTTCCCTTTATCATCTAGTTAACATACGAACTCGGAAAATGTATATCGTCTTTTCTGATTTTCACTAATACTACAGCACAAGGTATCATCATTTTTCGAACCATTTAAACTAAAATATGTTCTCGTTCCCCATACTTAATACATCTTTCTATATAGTCATCCAGGCATTGTACAAAGAGCAACATCCATATCCTTTTTAATGTTATCAGTATTCGTTAACTTTTTTGCGCTGTAATTGTTAATTATAAATTTTCACTTAACTTCCATAATTATGTTTTCTTACACACGACTCTTACACGTTTTAATCAAAGCCTGAAATATTGTATAAATCACGTCGTGTGTCATATGCATGGGAGCAAATATGAGGAATGGGTGATGTTGTGGTCTCTCGTCGTCTCAAGAGTCGAGGTTTTCAGTGACTTGGGTTTCAATGAGTGTCGGATAGTTGTCGCAGAATAAGAATCGCATTCGTGATTACAAGCTTTAAATATTGTAATTTCTCTCCTGTAGAAGTTTGCTTAACGCAAGATCCCGAGCATTGAAGTGGCGGAGCGTGTACAGATTGATCGCGATATCGTTGCGACCGAGATGGAAGGCATTATTGTTTTTTTTTCATTTTTTTAGCATTTGGTGAGCCCCATTTGGCTAATTAATTTAGCGAAATGCGCTCAAGCTGCTGCAAGCGAGGTTGGCAGCCTGTATAAATGTCATATTATTCCGAGGCCATATTATTTGCTAAAATTCCTGCAGCGTGTAGATAAGGTCTGTTTTAAGGCCGACATATTTTTTTGAATAAACACGTTTGCTTTCTAATTCTACATTTATTCCATGGTATGCCTCCGTTAACCCACAGATCTCAAAAACAAAGTTTTTAATCTTTATTTGCAATGCTGCAATGACGGTGTCACGGTCGTGAATTCACGTTGTTTTTTTTATTCGCTGAAGGAGATTCAACCTTTGAAACGCTTATTTCGTAAGGCAGCAAAATCGGGCAAACTGCCTTTTACTTTTCGATGAACATAGATTAAACATTTTTATTTTAACAATATATATAAAAGTGCACTGAACTACGTTTATGCTAAAAAGAAAATTGAAGTCAAACAAATTTGTAATGAAATATGAAAAAAATTGTAACACTAGAATAATCTAGATTAAACTTTTAATTCAGCAGATAACCGCAATTGATACTAAGCCCATGAATAATGAAGATAATGTGGCTAATTTAATGTAAGAAAATTTAATGTCATTTTTTCTATCCTAAGATTTTTCACCTAGTATACAAACATATTTGTACTATGTAGTGTTTATGCAAAGCCAGTTTACGTATATGCATATAATTAGGCCCAACGCCTTGACAACTAAACCACAATATAGCTTGATTGAAATCCTAACAGTAAACAGACAGGATGATGAAATTATAAAACTTCTGAATACGAATAATACGACTTGTCATGTTCCAAAAAAAGATTGATGGAATTGATAGTCTGGAATTTCTCGGGTTTCAATTACCTGGTACATCTGGAAAAGTTTCAAGAAGTTGATACTTGTACACAATACACACCCGAGATTCATCCTAATTATATCCTTAACCGACTCAAAGAGTATTGCAGATATTTCGTCATTGTTTACGATTTAAACATGTTTTTCGATTATGACTAAACCAAAGAAGTTCGTTTTAGTTCCCCATTTCATCTTCCCTATACATATAGATATACTGGTGCCGAAATTATGAACAGTAAGAATTGTAAGTAGGTCAGTCAACTTTGCATCAGGGTGAAATAGCTGGAACATATAGCATTACTGTCTTAAGTATTTGTATTTTAAAACTGACAAGAACAGGCGTTACGGAGAAATCTATGCTGATTCGTGCCTATATCTATGGAACATCGGATAGGGTAGTACTGCAATATTATAAGTACAACTGGAGTGGAGCAAGATACCGTGCAAGTCCAATGTTGAAAGTACTAACTATAAGCCATTCAATAATTTACAACACTAATTATAAAATTTTTAGTTTAAAATTGGGTGAAATCAAGTTGCTGTATTTCCTGGGTATTCCGAAGTATGTGAACCAAGACGACTTCAATTCAACTTAGGATTTCTAAAAACTAAATCATAAACAAATCGCAATTAAAATATAGGTAGGTACTCCTTAAGTATGTGAACCAAGATGGCGGACACCGGAACGTAGTATGTATACCAGGTTAAACCATGAAATTATTCCAGTTATCTTTATTTTGGTTCTATTACGAGTTCGGAAATATCCAAATGACTCCCGTAGTATTTGTACCTGAAATTATGGCCTAACCATAACATGTTACATGTTCCTGTGTCCGCCATATTGGTTCATTTACTTCGGGAGCGCCGTTTTCTGCATAAACAAAAATCCGCTCAAAAGTATTCTATAACTGATACGTTTAGTAAGATTTGTGTCTATTTGATGATATTTATATCCCCATTTTGTGCCCAGAAATGCATCTTTTCTTAAATCCAAAAGTTGATTTGTTTTAACATATTATTTACTGATCCACATAAGTAGGTTGGACCAGGCAAGCGCGATATCGCATCAGCTGTTTTGTACTGCCGCGTTATTCTGGGCGTAAATGTTCTCGGTACAAAAAAAATATAGATTCAACATATATATATAATCGAATATGATGCTATAAAATATATGTCTAATTAAATATGAAACTATCCATCTTCTGATATAATATCTTCTAAAACACAAGCGAATATATATAGAGTATTCTCTTTCTTCATAATAATCGATTGCGGTCCTTATTTCCACTTCTTTATTTATTGCGCAAGATTATATTACGTTACAACTATGTATCTGAAAGACAAGGCAAGTACTGAGAAAGGCAAACGAGAAACTTAATATTTATCTATAAAACCTATAAAAGGCACTAAACAATAGAAAGTATACATAAGTATATCACAACCAATTTTGCTTTTCTAAAAATGTATGGTAAATACGATACTGAGCTTGTATTACCTTATCCATTATTACACTTATCCATTTCGTAACATTGAAGCCGGGAAGACGTGCTTTCACTTTATCATTGTGTAATTACCGACCTCGTACGTGTATTCTAACCGTGAACTCTTTCAATGATTAAGATGGTTGATTGCGCCAACATGAAATTTCTTAGAACTAGAGCAGTGCTCTTCAACAGGGGTTCCGCAACACATGCAGTGGGGTTCTGTGAGTTGATAAGGTTCCTTAGGGGTTCCGCATTTTTTTTTTCGTTTTTTTTTAAGGGGAAATCATTTCTTGGTTCAGCATGTTGATGCGTCATTATAAATATTTTTAGACCACCGTGTCTCATTCAAACTACAAGTAGGCCAATTCGTTAAATAGGTGGTTTAGTCACAGTGCAGAGAAATATTTTCGGTTGTTGCGTCATTGTTATGCAACTAACAAAAAAAGAACGCCATAATTTTATTCAAATTTTCCTTATTTTAGTTCGATTACGAGTTCGAAGACTAGCCAAGTGACTCCCGTATTATTTGTACCTGAAATTATGGCCTGACCCTAACCTGGTACACATACTACGTTCCGGTGTCCGTCATCTTGGTTCACATACTTAAGGAGTACCTACCTATATTTTAATTGCGATTTGTTTATGATTTAGATTTTTAGAAATCCTAAGTTGAATTGAATATTTGTGTATACGTCATTAACTACTATGGGACAACTTGGTGTAAATAACAATGATCCAGAATCAGCGAAAATCGAAAGTCAAAAAAATTGGATTCGATTGGACGATGTCAAGCCTGTCTCCGAGGCTGTGTCAAACAAATGTAAGTATGATGTTAAATAGCTCTTCAGGTAATTATAAACATTTTTTTATTGCGATACTCTTCGTCACCACGGATAAAACAATTTAACAAGAAGTAGTAGCGCTGTTTGAGTTGTTTTCTTCTTCTGTTTAATCAACATTTTTATGAATCGAAACTATGGAATAATTTGTTAATTTCAGGTGCATTCATATATTTTGTGCTGTGGTTCGGATACTCAGCTTCGGGCATGGTAATTATCATTATTAGAGGTAATTTTAACATTTTCACCTTTATTTATTTGTGGTTATTCAACGGTATTAAGTATTTAACGGTCTTCGGCGGATCATAATTTATCGAAATATATTTTCTGCCACGTTTTAACGTACTCTCAATATAGTTATGAATATTTGAATCGTTTCTGAATCGTTAAATGTTACTTTGTAGTTTGTAACACGATCTCCGACAGTTTTAAAACGTTGAATAAGTTGACCCATATAGTCCATATTCTCAAAGCGCAGAAGCGACAAAAATTCGGCGGAGCAAGTTAAAATATATCACGTAGTCTCTGCTGATAAAGTACCACCCCTGAATTTCTAGAATATCATATTATATACCGAGTTTTGACTAAAATTCGATCTGCCAACACTTCAGAAATAAGGACAATCATGTATTCATAACTGACTTGCATGAACAAAAAAGTATTGTCATAAGCTAATGGACGAAGAATTGTCAACCGCATTACTAATGCCGTTAATGGCCCCCGGTCATGATTGCCGAGAGTGTTACATTGACTCCCCATCGATACCTTGAATTTATTGTTGAAAATATGAGCTCGTGCCAACCAATCAATGTGGCTAAAAGGAGGTCAGAGAAATATTTGAGTCAGCAATTTTTGCGTTTAAATTTTCTTCTGGAAGCACCCAAGCATAATGCTGATTCATTATTTAAAATTTAGAAATGTTGCGGCAGGACTGCTTTTCGAGCACCTTCATCGTGACCTGGTGGATCGCACATTTTTTATTTATTACTATTAACACATTCATTGAACTACGCAGTTTTTTATCCCGCCAGTACAGAGCTTCTTCCGGCGAGATAGCATGGGATATAAACTATTGCGAAATTGTGATGGTCTTTTTGGGACTTTGTGGTAAGCATCGCATACAAGATATTTTATTGTTTATAAATGGCAATGTCTTAAAATATATCTAAATACCAAATTAAATTTTTATCATTTTTCTGTACAAAAACAACTTCAGATACTTTGATGGAACAAAAAGATAGGAGTATATTCTGAAACTTTCTTCCAGACGTTACATTAAATCATTTAGGTACGAAATGCATGGATGTTTGTATTTGCATTTTTTGATTATCAGATCTCACATTTCAGGTATTGTTGGGTATCTACTAACTCAACCTCATCTCAACACCACCTGCTCTTCTATATCATGGATTGGATCTCTAGTGTGGAGCATTATTTCTATCTCTGTCGTCGTGATCAAAATGGCCAAAAAACTATGCTCTTGAAAACTCTTATATTCCGTGGACGACGACTGAACGGAAATTGAGACTGAGCAAATTTTATTTTATGAAAAAACAACATTTTTTTCATTTTGTCAATATGTGAATATATAATTTTTTTGCGGTAAAGGCTTTATGTTATATTTTTTCCACACTTTGTATAAACCTATTTCTAGCCTTTTCTTTTTCAAGTTTATTGTCAACTATATTTTAATCTGGTCATGATGTTAAAGGTAAGGTCATATTTTGGTGCCACCATGCATCAAGGCGATCACGTTGTAATATTTGTTATATTTAAAACACAATTATATGATGATACCTACAGTGCTATTATGATGTGTCTTCCACTCCTTACCCATCTCTTACTGACATAGCATACTTATGAGCTCCGCTTTTTATTTTTTGAATTTATCTGTATAGTTTACTTTATTGCTTATATATATTAGTTATTTGACTTTTCTCCGTGAGATGGTGCTTGGTACACTGTTTGTTGTACAATATAATATGTTATGTTACGTTATTTGTAAATAAACTGTTAAGGTGCGTCGTGTTGCGGCGCACTCCTGGTTGCGCGACACAGGTGTTTACATTGTGCGAGTCATTTTTGTATCGCTCGATGGCGCCAGGGGCGGTTGCTTAGAAACATAGGCAGTCATATATACAATTAATCATTGAACAACATTAAAGTTCAAACTTACCAAGTTTGAAATCGAAAGCTAGTTTGAACATCGAAAATTTAGGACTATGCAAGGATAGGTGCAGAAAGATATTTATTATAAACCATCGTCAATATTACAATTCATTATGTTGAATATCCACAAAATAGAGACCATCAAGAATACCCAATTGCCATATTCTGATTATTAAATAAAATTAAACCAAGTATTCACATCGCAAATAACTAATTTCAAATGTAGTTAGTTGTCCATTTTGGGAAATTGTGGATAATTCATTACAATGCACCATCCTGGGTATGCCAATTAGAAATTTCATTTAATGTAGAGTATATTGCTAAGTGAATACCATTGCAATTTGCTTCAATATGACCAAATCCACTCTAGATTTAACCCCCATAGGAAAGCAAACTAGTCATAGAGTATAATAACGTTGAACAGTCAGGGGAGACTTCAAGTATAAACATATGCATCAAAAATAAGTAATATCATCGGGCGTGGAATTTACCCAATAATACTACTGTATAACTTTGTCATTTACAAAAATAATAAATGAATGTGAAATAATGTGTCGCTTAATCAGAAGCGCCGCCGCGAACTGAAGAGACGCTTTGTGTGTAAACGGGGTCACTTGAAACATTGGGGAGCGATATCGAGCGCATTCAATGACGTGTAATGCGTGTTACATTTGCGACCAATGTACCATCCAATTTATTGTCGGGTGTATGTCTCATTTTTCTATCACATGAAGCTGTCGATGGGTCTTTTATGGCTGCTTATTGCGAAACGACCACACGTATTTCACATTATGGACATTGTGGCGACCGCATCCCTAATGCTTAGCCACACCGCCGAGCCAAAATTGCACGTCAAAAAAGGGAAAACGAGTCTATGTTCACAACCTTGCTGATCAAACCTCAGATCGTGGGATTACTGCACTTCTTTCCAAACATGGTTTGTTTATGTTCGTGTGCCAGGGAGAACTCAATGAGCAGAGTGGGAGCAAAACGATGTTTACACTTATGATGATTTGCAACTTCTGGCACGGTTCTCTTGAATAAAGAAGATGTCAAATGCTATCGATTATATATATACTTAAATGTTATATTCTATATATATATATATATACTAGGGGTAATTGTTTTTGCGCATAGGCCTTTTCTCTTTGGCATTTTCATTACGTAATCGAAGGAAATGATGTAGTTTGGACCGCCTCGCGTTTTCTGACTGTTGAAATGCGTTAGATGATTGTTTATATGTTTTTTAGAGCGGTACCGAAATTGTAACAAAGTAATCGGATATACTTCAGATGAAATGGATTTTAAACCATTTATGCAAATGTTTTAAACAAAATTTAATCAATACGGTTCGACGAATCCAATCTTTTAGACTTCATATAACGAAATGCATTGAAGTACATGGTTTATTGACCACTTATATTATATTTCTATAACATTTAAACTGCAAGATTGTTGTTGATCGTAGGAGCGAAAGCATGCAAAAGACAAAGGAATAAAGGTTGGCATCTTGCGCAAGAAGCAATTCTGTTTTTCCATATTTTCGATATCACAACATATATAATACTTTGCTTATGCGAACACTGGCCAAGTTATATTTCGATCGCATATTACGTTGCTTAACCTTTCGCCTTTTTTGTATTCGAAATATATTTATTGACAATACGGAATCGAACTATATGGCGAACGCTACAAAATTAAAATTCGCTGTAGCGCTGCTCTGTCCGTCTAGACTCTATTGATTCTTGCTTCATCTCACGTGATAGTTGTTGCGGTTACGTGAGAAGATTGCACTTTATGTTTATGCTAAAAACGCATAAATGTTGGTGACAAAAGCCTGGATTCAAAGTAACGTCTCGAATAGGGCTGATGGGTGTTGGGTCTTCCTCGGACGAAGAAATTGCGCAAAGTTGAATCCTTGGCAATTTGGAGTGTGCAAAAATCTCTGACGCGGTAAGTGTTTGGGATATGCTCGGGTCACACTGATCGATGACCCCACATGATATTCTAACGGACGCCCTTCGAATTGACTACTTGGTTCATGAAGGTCAAAGTGTTTTAGTGCGAACTCTCCAAAGAACCGCTACTGGACTACGACGGGTATTCTGGTTTCCGGGAAATCATAGCAGCAGGATAGGACGCGTATTCTCTGCTGGTCGGCTTGCTTCACCTACCGCCCCAGAAGCCATTGGTTACATCTACCGATAAATAGGCGGGGCCGGACGCGTGGTTCGCAGCCACCATGATTATATTATTTGTACTTTTTTGTTTATTTGCCTTCTATATCCAATAATACATGAAAACAATAGCTTTAATTGAAAGACCGCTTCAACTCGTGCTCTGAAATCCAAGCAGAATGCGCCAATCTTTTGACAATGTTGTAGAAAATTAAAAAAGGGTGAGTATCGTAAAAATATAAATGGACTAAAAAGATCGTACAGTCTTGAAAATAAACTATGTATATAACTACGGAGTCAAACTCAATATGGAGGTTATGATTTGGAGCGTAGCGCGCCCAGAAGAATAGCGATTTTTCGTTTTACAACCATGGCAATTCGCAAATTCGTGTTAACAGAATATGTAGCCTTGCATTGATATATTTGCTTGTTATTCAGTTTTAATTAAATAAAATTCTCTAGTCTCTAAAATCTTCATCCTGAGTCAAAATGAAGAACAAAATATTGAGAGTGTTCCTGATGTTGGCCGTTGCTTCAGTGATGATCCTCGTAATTGCACGTAGAAGGCGTGGTTTGCCAAGGTAAGTGTAAATAACAACGATAGCGAGACTTATACGTTTATTGTGAGCGAGCGTGCTACCGTCGCAAATATATCAAAACAATAAATTGCACATATTATTAGACGGAATCCAACAAAAATCTGGTCAAAACCGAAATTGGACAGGCAACGATTAGCATGTCTCCATGAGAGATGGAATCGTCTATATTCAAAGTTTCGTAGTCGGAGTCAAAATTTTGAGATTTTGAGGAGGTCTCGCGGGCCGTAGACGGAGAAAACTCAAAAGTGATCAAAACATCGCGAGTTTACTCACTTTAAATATATTTAAGAATGAAAGTTTATCATTCTAATCAGTTTTTCAAGGAAACTATATAAAGCCTTCAGTTATTTTAAATTTGCACCCCGAGAAATATCGTGGTATTTTCGGTATTTTTTCGGCGCCGCTCCAGAAATTTGTGTACAAACTAGGAGGTACCTAATTTTGTTCTCCTACTTTACATCAAGTTGTGTACAGGAACTGATTACTATGGGCAGGGGTGTATTCACTTGGCTAACATAAAACAGTCCCCGAACTAGCAATTGAAATAAAATAAGGAAAATCGGAATATAATTATGGCCTAACCCTAGCCTGGTGCATATACTACGGGAGTACCATTTTTTCTCGTGTTTGGTTTTGTAATGTCGCTTAAAATTATATTCTTTCGTGACAAATATTACTTGAAAACGCACCAGACACTGTGGTTTAACGTTGTTGTGGGTAAGGAAATGCGTTTCCTCCCAATTTATCTCGGTCACCTTTTTTCTACACTCATTGTATGATGAATTGTTATTTTGAAAAAATATATTACTGGTAGCGTGAGCAGGCCTAGTTTTAATGTCTGAAAAAAAGGCCGTTTAAGTTGGGACCTCGGACCCATATAAAAAAACTGGATCACGCGGCGCTAAATCAGCTCTGCGGTTTGTCCCTGCTGTCAGTGTCACATGGCCAACGCTTGAAAATAGAGCAGTGTTTTGACTGAAATAAAGGCACAAAACGTCTTTTCAAATGAGGAGTTATTTGACGCGAGCTCATCTCATCGGCTTGGTCCTGTCTGCACAAGACAACTCATTTTCCTTTTATCGATCACAGGACGTCATTCCCATGTAGGTATAGATACAATAATGAAATTCCATGATTTTAACGAACATCAATCCCGACATTGGGATTAGAAAAAGGACTATTCTAAGTTGGAATAGCTATAAAATAAATCGAAATTGTTCTGCTAAGAAATACAAATATCTGCCAATGGTTTAGTAGTGCACGTTAAAACTGTTCTACAGGCCGCACGGAATGTGTATAAAGTGGGCCGCGGTTTGGACTACTCTGTTCTAAGTAATGTCAACAACAAAAAAACTAAGTTCACTAAGCGTTCCTCTTAGTCTATTTAAAAAGGCTTGTCAATTCGAGTGTTTGATAAACGGTAACTCGGGTGGTGTCAATGATTCGATCCTACCGGTTGATATATGTATCCGCGTCAATACTGCTGAAGCTTGATGTAATAAATATATCTTCAGCTAACATATAAAACTACGTTTCATTTAACTTTTCAAATTCAATATTGTTATTTTTAGAGTGCAACCCTATTCGTGAATTTCCTGAAAGCTGCGTGGACTTTGTCAAGTAAGTGCAGTCAATTTCATTTTATTTGTTTTTCTTATCTTGAGGTTAGAGATATGAGCAATTTGGTCCTGAACCAAGCCAATTGCGGATTTATCAATATTAAAGCAGGGATTGAGATTCTAGTCCTTTACCTCCGCAAACAAATGTCCCACTCGAAATGTCACTCTAACACAGGGGTTTTCAAACTTTTGGTGGTATGAGGTCGTGATGAGATATTATTGGACTATTATTTACGAAGCCCCACAAAAAATTTAAAAATAAAAACATGTTTCTTAAAGAATAATGTTCCTGGGTAAATTACTTTATTTAATGACGTATGCGATGGGATGTATTTCATGGTCTGTCTTTTAGAAAAAAAATACACTTGACAAACACATTAAACAAAGCTGTAAGGCCGTTTTCTATTGGAACCTGAAGATAATGTCATATTCAAATTGCCGCCTCGTTGCCACATTCAGGCGCTACCGTTGTCAAATTTTATCAATGCAATAATAATTCTTAGGATTCCTTTACGGAGCCCCGGTACTTCGTATGGAGCACATTGAAAATAGTAGTTCTTAACCCTTGCCGAACCCCTACGCTCTTTAACACGCTTCCCGTCGAACACTCTCGTATTAAATGGTTCAACTAGGATCCCAATGAGAACTTTATATTTGAATACCTAATTTTGTGCAAAGATATATGATTTTATAGTATAACCTTGGATATCGATTCTCTGTGTGTAAATAGATATTGTTGTGTCACAATGGTGTCGGCGGCAGAACCAGACGTTTGTTGTATAAATTATGCGGGTGAAAAGGCAAAAAACTGATATTGCAAAAATTTCAACTTCGGAGATCCGAAGGATACCTCGAAAAATATTGGTAGCTGAAGGTATTCGCTTATCAAACTACAAACTACACCCCATTGCGTTTCTACATTGTTTTGCAGAAATAGAGATACCGTCATATTGAGATTGTCCAGAATGGATGATGATAATTTTTAGCAAATCTCCGCAATGAAGTTTCAATTTTCCATAATTTATAACTCGGTGGAAATCAAATAAGCGTTGATTTTATATTGATATTTGCATACTTTCTGCCTATCTTTGTCTTATCCGTTACACGGAGGCACATTTTATTATTATATACTTGTCCCACTTTTCTGAGTTCATAGTAAGGAAAATGGTTGAAAAGGGAAAATGATGTGAGGTTTATTCAATTGGAACACGTGAGAAAAAAATGGGTATTTTTCAGACACCCCTTTCAGTTTGTTCATGTCTTTTTTTCAGGGACTGCAAGGATGATTTAGCATCACGGACAAGATATATATAATCGGCCATTATAATCAAGAATCCAATCATATTGTGGATTGTATTGAATAAATAAAACTCATATATTCACGAGGTATTATTTCTCCAAATAAATTAGAATATGTTGTTGTATTCAACATAAATCTAAAGTATATATATATATATATAGTTGCATTAGAATGACAGACACTAGCTGACTAGCACAAAGCGTGGAGTAGTTGAATTGTGTAGAATGGATTTTTCGGATTTTGTTCAGTTTTATTGAGGTTTCCTTCAATATAATTACCGGAGGGCTTAAAAAGGTCAACGCTAGTTACTTAGCTTTGTCCATAAAACGATCAATTTTGTAACGAACAACGGAGTGTGCGGTTGGGGTACCCGGGAAAAACATTTTCGTATGCGGGGATTTCCATATTTATTCCGAGAGAAGAAATACGATAAGATTACTTAACCATATGATGAACGCCGGCATTTAGTCCGATCACTAGTTCATGTTGGGTATGAGGTTTAACCAATTATTCGTTCCAGATACACTGACTTAACGGTGGATGAAGATGTAACCGACCAGTGGTTACGGAAAAGAACCTTGATTGAAATGGAGCAAAATTTTACCATTGGGGCCGGAGTCGACATTTTCCAGGGTCGTAGTTCTAGTTTCAGATTTGTTATATTGATAATCAAGGTCAAGAAAGGCCAAAAGTAGTTTTTGTAATTTTACACACATTTAATCACGTTCTAATAAAAAGTACTAAGTCTAAAAGTCTAAGTAAAAGTACACACTTCAGTGCCTGTCAATTGGGGAATCGCCATAAGTTATCTGGTGGGTTCGATTCGAGATGTTTCCACTTGCCATGTACCATTTTTGGTCGTCTCATATAACTTTCATGTTCATTGGATGCTGTATGTGGTTCAGCTGTCAAAGCCATGCTCGTTTATAATCTATATTAAGAGTGTTCTAAATTTCCGACCTTAGAAATTAAATAAGATATTGAACCTTGGGTGTCGCTGCTCGATAACCAATCCTGGTTCCCCGCGACTTCCCTTCCCCGATAAAAAGGTGTTTTCAATTTTGTATTTTGTCAATTTCGTATGTTATTTTTTACTGGATGGAAGAAAATACCTTGAATATGACTACTACCGGTAACTAACTTCAATATATAATACATATATTACTAAAAGTTTATTATACCCCAACTTTTCGACGCTGTATCGTGATTGAACTAAACTTTCCGGGAACAAATTGATTGTCATGCTATTCGATTTAGGGATAATATTTTGATACATAAAAAAAAAATATGGCGGACTAAACGGAAAACGAGTCAATGCTTCATGGGGGAAGGGGTGTGACGCAAAGATTTGTTTAGCATAGCACATTTGCAACAACATGCACAATGTTTTAAAAAAAAAATACCCTACATAAGTAAGATTTTCACGGTTTATAAAACATAATTAAAATTATGTTTTATTATAATTAAAAAAGGGACATGAAACGTTGGGACATGTGGCACAGTGGAAAATCAGCTCTCACACTCGTACTTTATCCGGAATCACGTCTGCGGTTCGATGTTTGAATCCGCCCTTAGGTGAGTTACGACCATTGTGAGGTGTATATAACCTAGGTCATAAGTTCTCAAAGTGCTCCGTACGGAGGGAGCCCCAGGGCTCCGCGAGAGAAACCCAGGGAATAAAACGAAGGTTTGGTCTTCTTTAGAGCCAGGCAATTCAAATTCGGGTAGGCCTTCAAACACTGGAAAAAGAATTTCATTGCAGTGTGGAATTGGTCTAATTGCAGACTCGAGGTTTGGATAAACCAACGATTTCCTGTTCTTGCTATTGATACCCTTTGTGTTTACTGCACACAGATAGCAGTCATCATAATAATTTTTCGAGACCATTGGAATACTAAAGCGGAGTGACTTGCTATCCTTTTTTGTCCACTGTGAAAGATGCTCAATACATTGCTTGCATACAATATGGGGTGCCCATACCTTATCTTGATCACCCAGCATTATATTGAAGTAGGCAAGATAACCACACTTCACAAATTTACTGATCCCTTTCCTGTTGGATTGCAATGTATATTCTCCGCAAATATAGCAAAATACATTTGGATTGTTTGAACAATGTCGCCTAAGAGAAGATGTAGCCATACTTTATTTTTGCTCCAAAAATCTGCAACTCAATCAAAACAATGCAGCTTATTTATTTCATGTCTGACTTCTTTATATAGAAAATTTGACTTTTACAAGGCGTGTGATGTCATAATCGTTTGGCATACATCACAATAAAAACCTACACTTGTAATTATAACGCTAAAACCAAATATAGAACTACCCCTAATTTTAAGGTAAAAAAGGTATAAAATAGCTAATATTTCAACAATTTGACCTGATGAGAAAAAACTAGTATGATTTTTGGACGCGGCACCCCCAAATTAATATAAATCAGCTTAGAAACCTTGGACACCGAAAAATGTTTTGGCCCGTGCTATTATTCACGGAGCCCCAAAATAAATGTTACTTTCCGATTAATATTCCTGAGTAAGTTAAACGTACTTTACTCAGTTTAAATACCAAACCCTTTTAATAGGATTAATACAAGTCATAAATAAATCTAAGTTTCAAAGATAAATTGTATATACTAATGCTGTAAATTTGACACATGACAAACATATAAATAAATTAGGGGTCGAATCTTTTCCCCTCATTTTTGAAAGACTTAAGAGGGCCGCTAATAACGTGCGCTGTTGCATTTTGTTACAATCGCCGATTGTTTTCGTCAGCATGGCGTGTTTTTAAACCTCAAACATTTTTACGCCGGTGTTTATTCTCTCTAAATCAAAAATTTCCTTCGGCATATACATGTGTTGTTCCACAATGACGACGATAATTGCTTTTTCGTTCTCGTGGGGAATTATGAGTTCAATGTGTAAAACATGTTACCATATTATAATCATCGGCGACGAAATGCTAAAAATAATGGTTAATAAAGAGGTAAATCCGCAATTCAAATTTCTTGAATAAAAATCGGCATTCTAAAATATTATAACTAAAACTTGAAATGGAAGATAACACTATAAGTTTTGTTTCAGCAGACTCACGTCAGAATAAAAACGCTTTTATAGACAATGTAAATCACAAAATTCGGTGTTATGTTAGGTTTTCTTCGGTTATTTATCGTGGTAATTGCGAAATTGAAACACAGTCAAGTCATGATGCGCGCGATGTACCATTTTTCCACTCTGAAACTACCGACGGAGCCGCATGCACTAAAATAAATTTCAATCGTTCGTATTTTGCCTAGACCCTGTGATTTTTCAAACGGCGATACCTTGCTTAAAAATAATCTCGAGGCCGAACGAACAAATCAAGTTTAACAAATCCCGAGATCGCAAAAAGACGACTCCAATTTATTTATAGTTGGCAGTTTATCACGCAGTTTATGTTGTTTTAGAATGGTATTCTTTCATTTTAATAATCCTAATAGTAATCTCCAAAGAACGTGAGTAACGATGAGCACAATTAAATTATTACGACAAGACACTTTAAAGTTTAAATGCTCGCATCGGTCATGAATTGAATATTTTGCGCAACAGAAATCCCGTTATCCATTTTTTTTTTGAATCGCCAAGAATGTTGCGCGTAAATTTCCGATTCCAAATTTGAACCTCCTCCCTCTTAAGAATCCTCGCTGCGCTCCTGCTTATAAATAATGTCATTTTATAAGTCCGCCACTTTGTCATATTTCGAGGCTATATTGTTGTCAAATTTTATCAAAGCTGTTATTGCTTCTAGGAACAGTTTCAAATTAGCCAAGTCAGTATTTTGAAAAGTAATCGAATTCAGATGTCGCTTTTTCTTCTTCTTCACTTCCATAGCAATTTTCTTGTGGAGAACTTAATGATATGAATAGAGATTTCAACTTTTCTAAAGAATCTCCTGGATTTTAAGCTTCAAAATTCAAGGAAAAAAATCTACTTCTGTCGAGAACTCATAACATTCTATAGAGAACGCCATATTGAATTCTTGTCATATTTCACTCAGGAAAAAGACATAGCCTAGTATATTGCAACGACGTTGCCGACTTGCTGCGGCAGCTTGGTGTCCAACATTGAAGCCTTTTTATAGACAGTTCCAAAAAAAAAATTAAATGTGTTTTTCTTCACAATTCTGGCTCCTCCTTGGGTTGAGCGTTCCAAAATTGTGTTTCCTCCTCTTCACATAAAGCTTGGCAGTTTGTTAAGGCTCTTGAGAAAGATGGCGACTGTTTCAAATATAATTGCAGAAAATTTCCAGGTCTAACCACAAAAAAATCAAAAGCTGGAATTTTTGATGAACCCCAGATTCGAAAGTTAATGAATGACACAACTTTCTGTAATTTATGAATCCATTGACGGCGTTTACAAATGTAGTAACAATTGTTTTTGGAAAAATCAGAGGCGCCCAACTACAAAAAGCTTGTTGAAAAACTACTCACAAGTCTCTGTCAACTTGGGGGCAAATATAAGCATCAAGTTATATATTTTGCACAGCCATCTTGCCCGTTTTTCAGAAAATCTAGGTGATGTGAATGATGGGGCAAGGGGAGCCCTTCCATCAAGATATAAGCGGCATGGAAGTTTGCCATCAAGGTCTTTGGGATGCCACCATGTCTGCAGACTACTGTTAGTCCATCAAGCGCGATGATGCCAGTCCTCCAATTATAGAAAATCAGTAAAACGTCAATTTATAGCTGATGACATCTATTGGTTAACATTTATCTATTAGTTACAACTTCCAGCTTTAATTGTCAATATTTTGGTGAGATTTCATGAATATGTTCAATAAAATTACAGAAAAATGTTGTTTCTTCAATCTGCCTATCTTTATTGTAGCTATCGGCATCCTGCAAAGAGCGATATACCATAGAAGAAAAACTAGACCTCATAGAGAAAAAGTAACAGCATTTCTGGAATCAGCGCTCTCAAATTTGCTAAAAACGTTTAAAACATCTTGGGCACCATGAAAAAAATTTTTTTTGTTAGCCAGTGTAATCAACCTTTTCAAAGGCTCCGCAACGCCAAAAGTTTGAGAGCCCCTGTTCTATAGTAT